CTATTCTTAAAATACTGTTTATAATATGACTAATATCAAAATACCGATGTTTTTCCATCCGTTTCGCCCTCCTTCCGAATAAAACCGATTAAATGTACGTCCATTTGTATGAAAAAATCGTGGAATTAAAACCAGAATTGAATCCTATTTTCATAATGCTTGATTATGAACACGGTACCATAAATGCAGTGAAAAAAGTATTTCCCCAAACTACGATGAATGGATGTTTTTTCCGTTTTTGCAAATGCGTTTGGAAATATATCCAAAATATTACAGGACTTGCCGTAAAATACCGCGAAAATGCAGAGTTTGCGTTCAATGTTAAAAAGCTGAATGCGTTAGCGGATGTTCCTCCGCAGTATGTGATCGATGCATTCGAAAACTTATTGGAAACGGATTTTTATAAAGAACACAGATTGATATTAATACCTCTCATAGATTATTTTGAAGAGTCGTCGATAGGTAAAATTGGCCGTAACAGGCAACAAAAATCCCCAAAATTTGCGATAGAACTGTGGAACTGTCATGACTTGATTAAAAACGATAAACCCAGGCCAAAAAACGTAATTGAAAATTGCATAATTCATTTACAACAATACTAAACGACACTAAGCGTCCATCAATTCGGAATATTATTAACGTTTTAAAAAAAGAAGAGAAGTTAAATCATGTCAGAATCTGTCAGTTAATGATAATTAATGAACCAAAACCTACCATAAAAAAGTACAAAGATTTAGTGTTGAGAATAAAAAGTATTCACCAACGATTCGAATATAAATCAATAGACGCCTTTTTAAAAAGCATTGCACAAAATATTTAATTTTAAAATATAAGGTTTTTATTTCTATTATTATATTACGCCGATACAATATTACCAACCTAATTTTTAATGTTCACGACTAACGAATTCTCTTGATAAGTTAAAAGTTAATATGCAAAACAAATTCAACTTAAATTACACGGTTGAAAAAAAAAAGGACTAACATACTTCACACCTGGGTGCAGTCATTGTTGTAATTGGAAAGTTGGGAAGATAAGATACAGACAGGAATTCAATGTATATCTGTAAGCAACGATAAACCATCAGTTCAGTTGATAGTGTTAATTTGTCAATAATACAATAAATATTATAGTAAAATGATTAAAACAATGTGCGTTTCTATGACAACAACTATTATTTAAAAAATATTAAAATAAAAACTTAATAATAACAAAAAATAAATAAAAACGGTTACCAATGACAACCTTATTTTTAATCTTTCAATTTTTTTTAACCTTAAGACCAAGATTTTCCTCATTATCTCGAATATTAATGAGAATTTCAAAAAATAACCTGTTTAAAGTACCACTCAGAGAAAATTTTCTTTTAGAAAAAGTGCTATACTAGAAAATCGGAGTATGCTTTATGGTAGAAAAAGTGTTTACATAAAAAAAAAAATGTATCATCGTAAAACTAAAAAATCTAGTAGAATCTAAAAAGAATTGAAAATTAAAAATAATGAAACCGTTACTGTCGTAACTGTGCCTTTTTTTCTCAGATATTAAGACAACTACAAGGAAAATTAAAAAATGACTAGCGTACACCAACTAATTTGTTTCGAAAAAAGATGCTACCCTTATAACCCGGAATAAAATGTCTTGTAGAATAGTTTTAAAAAGACAGACCCATTAATTCTCTGCAATTATCTTAATTAGAGTTATAACTGAATGTTATTATGAAAATGAATTGTGTAAAAATGTATACTTATACCTATACAACGAAGACAAAACGATTAGTCGAATTACGACGAATACAACAATTAAGTGTAGTTGATGCTCACCAATTATTTAATATGGTGGTAATGCTCTGGTTAATCCTAATTATAATTTTTTTTTTTTTTTTTTTTTGAAAAATCTTTAAATTGATTATATTACTTAATTGTTTGGTTTTGACGATTTGTTAGATCTGCTGCGTTTCTATACCCTATACCCGACACAAAACAGGTGGTCACAGGATGGTCCAGACGAGGAACTACGGCATATATTGACATTATAAGCATATGGTAGTCGTTATCCCGACCACACGTATGTGTTTAACGATAATTACAATTATGGACATTTTAAATTTTTTGTCGAGAGCAAATTGCAAATTTTGTTACTCGGTGACTACTATATATATATATTATACGCCGACTATCGAAATATTTGATTAAATTGAAATGCATACCTATATTATAATTCAGTTGTCGCTAATTACTGTGTACACGACATTTAAAGTACCCACGCGACTGAAAAAAACATCGCGTGACTCGTATACACATTGAAAATTCGGATAAACGTTCTACCAGATCAAAATGCAAAACCTAGCCATTAAAATTCTAGCCATTTTAAAATTCAATTTCAAACTCATGATGAAATTTATACTACTGATATATTTATTTCTAATGTAGAATTAATAGCAAAATAAAAAAAAAACATATTTAGACGCCAAATGTGATACGACACGTTTATCATTATGCCAACAAAATAATTGTATCATGGGTAATATCTATTGGATATTCTCGGATCGCATGATATGGTAATACACACTAATAATAACTATTAACAATATAGAAATCCCCAATCCAGACGTTTTGAACACATATATTATACGTTCATCAAATTTTGTTGTTTATTTGTTAATTTTATATTTGTTTCAAAACCGTAAATCGAAGTTTTCTTTACCAAACAGATTCGTCTAATAGTTTCTAAAAAAAAATTATTTTCCTTGTTTTTGCATATATTATTTTTTTGATCGTGATGTTTATGTTACATTAATATTTTAACATTTATATTGTACTTTCATGTTTAATAAATTTAAATGTAAAGTAATACACTTTATGAAGTTTATTGAAGTCTTCTTCTCGGTTTTTTCCTTAATAAATACTAGAGGTATGACGCAAATTTAATAATTAATTTTACAAACAAAAAGATAATATTTGTTGCTCTAGAATATTATAGAAGTTTACGAAAAAAATTAAAAATATATGCAATTTGTATCGTTACTAAGTATTTAAAATCAAGGAACTGGTGTCATGTTGGATAGTAGTCTTCTGGACGAAATTGTGGTTGACGAATTGAAAAAACCGCACATAATAAATACTATTATATTTCTCGCTCCGCTGAGGATTTGCTGCGGTCTGTATTGTAACATAAACTATTACACGAGTATTAAATAAACGTATCGGGTTAAGTTTTAATGTGATCGATATAGTATTTCACGTTTATAGCCACTACACCTTGTTCGAACAACATTCGCGTTATATGCTTCGCTTACCGCAATAATTATTACAAAAACTAATACTACAAATTGCTTTAACGATACCAAATACTTATTGTTACTTATGTTTCAAAAACAGATAAACGCATTACAATAATGTCGATGTGATAATAATAGATCGGACTACAGTCATACCTACGTGTATAGCTATAGCCTATAATAATATATTTAATTTAATTGCTTGCTTATTTTATAATGTTGAATTAATTTACAAAATTGTTGGGGCGATGAGGGAAAAGACTGAAATACTAGGACATAGTTCCATTAAAAACTAGAAATATTATCCCCTTCCCAGATTTTTTTACTCTAGTTTTGCGCATATGCTTTACATTTAACTTAATCGATGTTATATGTATTAGATGTTAATCGTAAACCAAGATTAGACCGGTTAAGGGTGATTTATATAGCTCTCCCACGGCCTAAAGATAAACAAACTTTTTAAAATTAACGTTTATTTATATAGTAAGCCAGCCTTGATGTATTATAATACATTAGGATTATTTAAACAATTTTTAAAACGATTTTTGTTTCTTCAACGGAGATAATATTATTATCATAACTTATAAGTTATATAACCTTGGGCGTTTTCGATTTATTTCTGAGCAAAACTAACAACGTACGCTAAACAAAACGACACCCCCGACGATAGCGTTCTCGTACCAACCCACTGCATACCCTTGTGTTCGGACGACGTTCGCGATAATTTATCTATCCATTGTTGACAAATATTCGTGTGTATTATTTTTTAAGCCGTAATTTACTGCAGTCACGCGAGACGATACTATCGTTCCGGAGACACAATATCATCGACTATTCCGGTATACGGGTCTATAAATAATTTCAATATCACCGAAAGCAATCCCGGTAACCCGAACTCTGTGCGATTATCGTGGTTGACATATTATTAATTACTATTATACCAAATCGTTACTCGGATAATAATAAAGTATACGCATTTACGAGTATTATACTAATAGATTGTACCAAATGTAAAATAAATGAGCGTAGGGAAGACCGAAAAGACCTGCGGACAGTACAAAAACGAACAATACAATATAGTGGTGGTATCTTGGCCGCTGAATCGATAGATCGCTAAAAAGCGATTGCGATGTCATTGTCGTCTCTATTTTAGTGTTCCGGTATCTCGGTGCTGGTTCGACGTGAAACGTGTCTACGAAATGGTCGTTACCAGAGGCTAAAATATATACTATTTCGTACTGTACCTTTTATATCAAACCATACTCTAACATAGGTACTATCACCCCCTCCACCTCGCAATGGAGTCATTTTAATTTTTGAATTTCGGACGAGGAGGGAGGAATTTTTGATCAGCATATTTACGAAAAATTATTCACTCTTAAATTAATCTCAAGAGATACACAACAGCCTTTTTTTTTTTTAAATCAACCCAAAATAATTTAAAAAATTACTTAACCAATACAGTTTATTTACCATGAATATAATTGATCGAGACCTCAATAAATTACACATTTATTTCGAAAGATGGTACCTAACCTTAAACCCGAACAAAACAGTTGCACTGGCCCTCCACTTAAATAATAGGGAAGCAAATAAGCAGTTATAAATACAAATTAATGGCATCGACATACCAAGCGAAGAATGCCCTACATATCTCGGAATAAAAATTGATAGAGCCTTGAAATTTAAAAAACACCTAGAAGGGTTAAAAAATAATCTAAAAATGAGGAATAATATTATTTCAAAACTAGCAGAATCGACCTGGGGAAGCGACGCAACAGTTCTACGTATATCAGCATTAGCCCCGGTATATAGAATAGCTGAATACTGTGTTACAGTTTGGTTCAGGAGTTCACAATACAAAAATGTGGACACGGAGTTAAACCAAACAATGCGAATTATAACAGGTACAATAAGAACGACTGAAGTACAATGGTTACCGGTGTTGGCGAATATAGCCCCACCGGATCTACGCAGATTGATGCATGCTGAACGTATAGTGGAAAAGATTAAAATAAACCCTAAACTACCATTATATGAAGATATTATTACGCACTCTCATAAAAGGCTTAAATCGAGATACCCAATATGGGACCTTACATTTCCAATAGAAGCTCTATCGATAACATGGAAAACACGATGGAAAGACTCAGGTGTGCAAGGAGTTACCTTGATTGAAAATCCAGAAACAAGAACACCGGGTTTTAATCTTCCACGGAAGTTATGGTCCTGGTTGCACAAAATCTAAACATATATAATCATGTAAATAATAAATGTATTTTTTCGTTAACAATAGTTTATCGTTGATTACAAATATACATAAAATTCCCGTTTATATCCTACCTTCGCAACTTCTCACTTACACCAGTGGCTGCACCCGTCCCCATTATCTTATCATTTTTTAATTTTTTTATTTGTGTTATCGTATAAATAATAAAATGTAAAGTATGAAACAAAATAAAGTCAAAACAACAACACTTCGAAGTCGCTAAATGATGTATTATTCTTCGGATTTTACATTAATTTTATAATGAATATTGAGAGCAGCTAGTACATTTAATTTCGATTCGGATGTAGAGTTTCTTAAATAACTTTTGATGAGTTGGAGTGTAGAAATTGACCTTTGAGCTTCGTAAGATATGATAGGAAGTGTGACCAGTATTTGCAGAATCCAGAATCCATTTGGGAATAAGTCTGAATTTCATTTATTTAAGATGTCTATTTTTTAGTGGAATGTTATTATCATCTAAATAATGTTTTCATAATAAAACTTCCGATTTCACAAGACCAAAATTATCAATGTCATCGCCGTAAAAATGCATCAAGTTCTTTAAGTCTTTCTTCATCGAATGTTGAACTTTCCATTAAAATTTGAAATCCACTAATAATGTTTTTATAATTTATAAAACGATCATTCAATTGTTGAATGAACGAATCAAGAAAAACGTTAACAGTTAAAGTTAAAACGTAAACACGATTAGGTCGAACAACCATGGTTATATTTTATTAATAAATAATTATGACGTGATATCATAATCATAGATCTTATACCACGGTTTCAAATATATTTAAATCGTGCCGTAATAGGTATAAGGTCTATATTGCGTAACGTGAGAAAATGACAATATGTGTCATGTGACAATAATTTGTTATCTATTGTAAAGCATTATTATGTTACTAAAATGAATAAATATTTTTTACTGTAAAATATAAATAGACAATATTCAAGGGGGGGTCTAGACCCGGGGATCCCCCCTTGTGTCTCTGGTACAGCATATTTTTCTCAACGTTTCATTATTGTTATTTTAGCCGGTACGATACTGAAATATTATAATGTATATAACGACTCGAAATACAACATAATGCAGCTGCATCGACCTTGAGACGGTCACGCCGTATGGATTTTCCGACGAGACCTTTATACGGTATCGTTACACGCGCGGGTCAAGACGTAAGCTCGACCCAGAACGCGATTGCGATTTCCGGTTGAATTTGGCACGCACATCCACATCGAAAAATAATAATAATATAAGATTCAGGGACCGTGGCACCGTGCACATGGTGATACCGGTTGAAATACTATTTTTTTTAAGGGGCACGTTTAAAATAAAATGCCATAAACAAAAATGTCATTCCACACAAAGGTACAAAATAAAATCAAATTCAACGGTGTACGACGGCACTCGTGATATTTTGTAGGCAATGGACAAGTTGTATTATTCAGTTTTACTGAGACGTGCATTGTTCTCTTTTTAGGTTATTAAAAGCTAGAAATGCACTGATGGTATCTACTTTTTTGTTTAAAATATTTTCCTGTTTTTCTTCGTTATTAAGAAAATTGCATAGAAAACCGATGGAGTTGATGATCAAAGCAAGACTACTTGTAAAAAGTTGTTCAATGGCAAAAAAAAAAGCAAACATCATTGTTTTCAACAATGCATTCCTCATTAAGTTCAGAATCTAAAAATTAAAACTCATATAACTGAACAAATATCAAGTACCTATACTCTAGACAAATATATTATCATAATCGTATCTTAATAATAAAGAATACATTTATTTGTATTTATCTTGAAGTGTAATTTTCAAGTATTTAACATCAAAAGAATATCTTATATCACTATTGTGTCTATCCATATGGTTACAATTTACTAGTACATAGTTATGGTTGTTGATTTGGTTGACAAGGAGATATAATATACTATTGTAATATTATTTTATCCTATAATTTATTAATTTAATATAAATTCTTAGCATTATTAATTTAAAACTATAATTATACATAAATACACGCTACGTTATATTACAAAATAAGTACTAAAATAAAATTTGACACTTCAAGAATTTAAAAATTGTCCTGTTAATTAATTAAAAATTAAGATACCTAGGTAGGTATTTTATTTAGATATAAATAAAATAAGAAATATTATTGACCGGATTATCTTTTTTGTCAAGTTATTAATACATAGTACATACTTACTTAGTATTTTGATAAAAAATACTTTGATAACCTCTTTAGTATTTTGTATAGCATTGAACTTCTGTCCCCATGATTCTATGAACACAAATTTTAAAACAAAAGTTAAATCATTTTTTTTTTCAATCAATTACTCTAAAAAAAAAAATAAAAAGGTTTAAAATTCAAAATATAACATTATATTCTTAATAGGTGCTTAAAGCAATAGATATAATTTTCACAAGAATACTGAATAGGTACCCACCTAAATTATCACTAATCATGTTCATTATTTTGCATCATACCACAGAAATATCGATTAAAGGCATTAAAGAATAAATATTACCTTATAAAATAATGAACAATGCAATTTAATATAATAAATAGTAATTCTAATTTAATAGATTCCTACATAAAAAGACAGACATACTTCACACGATGGGCGCAGCCACTGTTGTTGGTGAGAAGTTAGGAAGGTAGGATGTAGAACGTTCTTGAAATTATCCTCCCGACATTGTCCTATCGACTCTGGACCAATTCCGAAATTCAGTACCCTGATTGTAACCTCAAATAAAAATCTTGCGAGTTAGATAAATATATAAATTGATTAATTAATACAAAAATTAATTAATTAATTAATGCGTCGCCTGGAGTATTATGAAATGTGTATTGTACGATCGGTTTCGAATTAAAAATTCATCGACAGGTAAAATTACTAAGTCAAAAATTAAAATGTGACTGAATATGAAAAAAAGACGTCCTAGGATAATGAAGACGGGTGCAGCTACTCTCATAGATAATTTAATGTACACCTGTAAGCAACTATAAATCATTCCTTATGGAAAAACGACTCTGAGTGGAGTTCAGTTGATAGTGATGCTTTGTCAACAATGTATATGTCATTTTATAGTTAAATAATTAAAAAAGGCTTTATATATTTTCTTTAATAATAATTGTTAATGTTGTACCGATTTTTCCAGTTTTTCCTACGTTTTTACGATGTTTTATCCAGGTTTTTCACATTTGCTGAGAAAAATCCCGAGAAAATCAAAAAATAACCTCTAAAAAACCTATCCGGTCCAATTTCTTTTTAAAAACATTGCTATCAATAAAATTTGGAGCAAAATTGCCGGTAGGAAAGTTGTTCAAAAAAAGAAAGCCGTAATATATTTTAATTTATACCTAAATTTCTTATAATTTCCCGTTTTTTTTTCAGTTTTTCAAATTTCATGAGAAAACTCTGGAGAAAATGGAAAAACGACTTCTTCAAAGTAGCTCTCCACACCGATTTCCTTTCAGAGCAGGTGTTACACTTAAAAATCCGAGCAAGTCTTCTAGTAGAAAGATTGTTAACAGATAAAAGATAAACATCATTGTAAAACCATAAGCTTCTTCACTCTACTCAAAATCTAAAATAAATATAGGAATAAATAAAGAAAAAAATTGCACAAATTGGTCGTTTGACATAGAAATAATTTATTTAAAAAGGAAATATTAAAATAAGTTATTATTAGACATAGATATGTTAAGGTATATAAATTATTTGGTTATTATTTATTATCTAAAATGCATTAATACAAAATATAATCTTACCTACATAAAATTTATTAGTTACATTTAAGTTTATATATGCCAGTATGTTCAAAAGAAGGGGGATTTTTTATGAAGTTTTTAGTTCTATTTTTTATGCTTGATTATTTAAATTATTATTAATCTTAAAAGCGATTTGTACATTATTTGTATAATTGATTAGAATTATAGCGAATTCGTTAGACATATTATTTTGATATTTCATCCTACAATAGTTAACAACATTATTTGGCGAGTTGTTTCATTTTTTTTAATACGTTTATGAATTTTTTTCTAAAGTATTTAAATTGAAGTTATTTTAATGGGCTATATTATAGATAATATTAATCTCGTGTTGATAATTATGTTTATTCAATGGAATACGTTTAGCCTATAGATAGTACAGAATATTGAATTAAAAAATGATTTTTTTTTTTGAGAAAAATTGTGATTAGAATCGTGTGGTATTATAGCATCAGTTTGTATAGGTTTCCTGCAAATATTAAAATCAAATTTATTTTTTACTATGGAAACTGTAAGATCCAAGGAATCATATTTATTATTTATTTGTATTTCGAGTGTAAATTGAATGTTTATATTTATTTTGTTTAAGTACGTTGTTAACAAAATTTTTTACTTGTCTATTTGAACCTCTAAATAAAATTAACGAGTCATCAACATATCTATAATATGCTTTTATAAATAGATTGTATATTTTGTTGTTATTACTGGTTTTATAATTTCGCATGTAAATTTCAAATAAAAGAGCACTTAAAGGTCCACCCATTAACCAGATTAACCCTTATTTTTAGGAATATAATTTATTATTAATCATAATTGTTTTTTTTTATAGAGTATTAGTATTCATGTTTAATTTTTCTTTATAAGAGAGTCTGAATATTTAACAAGGTTAAAAGATGGAGCAGTTTTAAAGTTAATTAATGGACGAATCGGATTATCTTGTCTATACAATTTTATGAATGGATGTAAGTGTGGAGCTTCTATTTTGAAATTAGATTTTAATAAAAATTTTTTTAACTTTAGGTAAGACTTCATTCGAATTAGTTATCAATTTATTAATTTGTTTAGTGTAAATTATAATTGGGTTATATGTTAAATTTTGAATATTATTATTATTTATAAAATTTAAAAAATTTGTATAAATTGCATAATACAGTAAATGATAACAATAGCATCAGATTTACCTACTGGGACTATTTCTGAATTATTTGTTTTTAATTTATTCACTAAATTGTTTATAATTGTATTTATTAATTTAACCATACTATTTTTATTATTTATGTCTACTAATGTTGTGCTACGATCTTAATAAAATTATAACCTAACCTAACCTCCCTGGAATGGAATTTAAATTTTCTCTTGGAAACTGTTTGGTTAAAAATTGCTTGATGTTAGTTACAAATATGAAATCAATAGGACAAAGCAGGAGGCCAACTTCACAAATATAGATATAGTATGGAAATTAATTTGTATCTTGTTTATTAATAAACCATTGCTTACTTAAAACAATTCACAGCATAGTTCAATTGATAGTGATACTTTGTCAACAATATATGTCATATTATGGTAAAATAATTAAACGGATAGTATACATTTTTTTTATAATATTTGTTTAATATTGGACCGATTTTCCCAAGTTTTTCCCGGTTTTCCCGTGTTTTTTTTACATTTGCTGGGAATTCTCGGGGAAATAGGAAAACTACCTCACTAAAGTACCTTCTCAATCAATTTCCTTTCAGAAAAAGTGCCCTCATTGTAAATTAGAACAAAATTGCTAGTAGAAAAGTTATTCACAGAAAAGTAAATAAACATCTTTGTATAACCACTACATTCTTCACTAAACTCAAAATCTAAAATTTAAATTATTCATATTTAAATATTTTTGTGCTCAAATTGTTTAACTGATTGTAGAGACAGACTTGCTTTATAGTTATCACAGTATGGCACCACTACACGATAAGTGGTATTAATAATTCATTATTAAATATTTAGTTCAATTTAGTTCAATTGGCGATTTTTGGTTGGATTTTCGATCGAATCGAACACAACAGGCTGGGTTCAAAATTTGAACAGTTCGTAAGATTATTTGTTATTGTATAATAAAAAATTAGTATAGGTATGAGGAGAAAAATGTTTAAACCTTTAGTATATACAACTAATTAATTATATTTTGTTCAGATTAGGCATCTAAGCTGTAGTAAATCGAAACATTGTCGTCACTAAGATTAATAAGTTCTACTTTGGGTATTCAGTTTTTAAAATGATAAGTATTTGATTAAGGATTCCATTTTGGGATGGGAGTATGCTTTAAGCACTTATTTGCAATCCAATAAATTTCGCCTATAGACGAACGACAAATTTCACGAAAATATTTAATATGAAGAATATAATACACATGCCTACATGATAAAATGTGTCATATACATTAAAAAACATTTTGTTCTGTTTTCAAATTATTAAAAACATTCCATAATACTTGATAACTTTTTATATTTTTTTTTTTGACAAGAAAAACAAAAAAAATATAATTAATTCTCATATAATTTAATATACGGTATTAATAATCATATTGATTAAAATCATGGATTAAGTATAATATAATAATGTACAGGTAGTTTCTCTGATGAAACAAAATTTCAAAATATTTATGAGCACAATATTCGGTCAATTATAATTCTTATGATTTGCCTTCAATATTCACTAATAAAAAAATGGACCTGCAATTATAATTCGGGATGACTGAGTATACATAAACATATATATAAAATATATATATATATATATACACATACATACATACATATATATATATATTATATATATTATACGTGCTACCCCAATATTATTACAAAAAAAAAAAAAATAATAATAATAATAATAAAATAAATAAATACAAAAAAAAAAAAAAAAAAAAACAAGTGTTACATGTTATAACATAAAATAATATTATGTGCTAATGGAAATCTGCTAAAAAAATTGCACATAAAATATAATATAAATGTCTTTTATACAAAAATATTTTTTTAAAAAACAAAAATAATTAATTTCAATATATTACGTTCAGAAAATTATTTAAAATTTAACTAATTCAACTAAAAAATATTAAAAATATATATTATATAATATGTATATATAAATATATATTGAATTTAACAACAAAATTAATCAAAACACATAAATATAATACTATTTACAACAATATATTCGATAAAATATAATATAATCAACTTAATTTATGACCTTAGGTACATGCGAAAAATCGTACAATAAATTTATTATTTTTATTATTATTATACTCTAGGAAAACACTTCTCAACAAAATGGTTTTATTATTAATAATATTTGTCTATAGGTTTCATAATCACATATAAATCATATTATATTATAACATAGTCGTTTCAAAGACAAAACATATTTCACTAAAATATGGTAGGTAAGTCACTAACCATGGTTATCATAATGTAATTAAAATATTTTAGCAAAATTTATATAAATCTTTCTTTGTAATATGATAAAAAAAATGAATTTTGAAAAATAAATATAAAAACATTTTTCTGAAAAAATCAAAATTAGCCATTTTATTGAATTTAGTAAGTACTTATTGATAATATAACAAATAATTTGTTTTAAAATAATTGGACTCTGAACGGATAAAAGTAATTAATCTTATTTTATCAAAATTTGACTTATTTTTTTTTAAAGTTAGTCTTTTCAAAAAATAACTGTATATTTTGGCTATTTTTACATAATTTAGAAAAATGTTTTAATAATATTGATAAAGGAAAATTTAAAAGACATTATGTTGAAAAGAATAGATTAATTAATATTAAATGATATAATTAATATGTTAGTTTAGAAAAACTGTGCTGGATAAAAAAAAAAAAAAAAATGGTTAGGTACTAAGTGCTCTAATTATTTAATATTATCTACTATATAATAGTGTGGTGGACACACAGAAAAAAAAAACACTTTACAAGTATGTTTAGGTATTACATAATTTTGGCACTTACAACGAGCAATAGTAATGAGATTAAAAGTTAATTATTTTTGATTTATTATTATACAGTATCAAAAACAACATCACTTTTCTCCAATAATAAATAATATTGGTGTTATGTTATTTCATTTTCCTATTTGTCAGTCGTTTTTTAAATTTGTTTATACTGTAATTTCCCTACGCATAATATAATAGTACAATTACCTAATTATGCACAAGGCACCCAAAGTTTTATGTACAATATTATTTGCATTATATTATTATATATTATCGCGTTTAAATCAAAATTCCAACAGAAACAATAATATTATGTTAATCAATTTGTGTCATTCCAATACAATTGCTGTCAGATCGATGCAATGATCATCATCGTCACACTAATTGCAGGTGCAGTGTCATAAATATTACGTAAATAATAATAGATACAACACAAAATGTAACTCGTAGAAATGCAATAATTGGTAATAACCGAGGACTAAGCTCAGTCAACATTGAACTAAAACTCTTAAACTTATTGTATTTGCACCTGAAACAGAATAAAATAATGTCTAAAATTATTAATTTCATTATAATATGTACCTAAAATAAAAGTTGAAAACCTATGCATACAATTATACAGAATGATTCATTTTTTATCATAAAAACCAGCGGTAATCTACAAAGATATTTTTGGAATACATTTTAATTTGTTTTTAACTGTTATAAAACTGTAATCATCATATATCAACATTATTTTAAATATTTTTAGCCATATTCTGTACATTATAAATATACAAAGAAAAAACAATTTTTGCTTTTCAAATAGGTTAGATAAGATAGTTTTTTTTTTCAGAATGATTTATTTATAGGTAAAAGTTAAAAATTGTTAGCTAAATAGCCTAGATGAGTAGATCACAACATCTCTGGATTCAAATTACTGACAGTACAGAACGCCTGCGCAAATAACAGATAGTGTTATAGCATTATAACAGTATCTATGATCACAGCTTTTGGTACAGATAAGAATAGCATCATAAAACGACCACCCAATCATCATTAAACATTTTTGTAGCCAATAATGAATATCCAAATTTTACACAGAGTACACAAATTTCAAGTTCAGTCGTGGATCACCTTCAATCCAGACTTAAGTACAATGAGTATGCTTTGGTATATAATACAATTTGATATACTCACCATTGGTCATTAATTCATTATGTACACTATTTTGTATCCCGTCTGGCGAGTACGTAATTCATTTGGTCTTCAGCAGCTGTTGACTCTGTAACATATAAATAGTCTACATGTAAATCATGTTCAAATGTATTCAGATATGTATACTAAAAAAAAGAAGCCAGTACATTGATGATGTCACTGCAAGATATACTAAGTATAATTGCTCAAATTCAAATGTTCAAACACATTGAGATATGTATGCTAACAAAAAAAGGCAGTACATTAATGATGTCACTGCAGGATATATTAAGTAATTGATACTGTCATGGTTATTTATTTCAAATTGTTTAACATATTTATGGAGTTAACAATATTAATGCATATAAATCGGAAAATAGTATGCAAAATACCATGATTTTGTTGATGTATACATTTATATTACTATAAGAATAACTTATGATTATCCTTGCATTAAGTTTGAGATCATTTTTTAGAAACCAAAAAAATTGTATCCAAAATTATCATAGTAATAAAATCAACAAATTCCTTTTACGATTAGAATCTAAAAAATAATTATCAATATTAATAACAACAAAACATTATTTTGTTAATTATATACTAGAACCGTGTACCGTAGTGTGGTAATAAATGGATAAGAAATTAAAAAGAAACTAATAAATACGCGTGAATCAATACACGTATGCAACGATATTGCCTATCCGAGACGCCTACAGAAAAAAGAATACAGACCGTCAAAAAAATTAAGAAATAATTTAAGGATCCGTGAAATCACAGATTGTATAGAATAAGAATAAAAATGGGTAACTTACAATTTGTGTCCCTTGCAGTCCGAGTAATTTTTGCAACTTTTGCAATTGCTGGACAAGAGACCCATTGCTCTCTTCGAGGTTAACTATTTTCTTTTTATACTCGCTGTTTTCGGTGACGAGAATTTCGACTTTCCTCTCCAGCGAATCCATGTACTCCTTCTTCTTGCGTCGGCTTTCTTGGGCTGATATCTATTATAAACAATAATAATTAAAATTAAAAACGAATTGACAATAATACGTGGGTAAATAATAAAATTTAACAAAGTTTTTTACCTTGTTTTTAATCTTCCTTCTGATTTTTTTCAGCGACTTTTCCTCGGCCTTGGTCAGCGGCGACCTGGTGGGTATCGGGTAACCCTCTGCCTGCAGGGTACGTTTCTCCTCTTCAGTAAGGGTCAGGGGGCCGGTAAAATTCTTCGGCTGATTGCTGATCAGTGGCGTCTGTATAGACTGCCGGCTGCTGGTGGTGACTGCCGAGGACAAGGACGGCGACTGCGACGACAGGAACAACCGCCGAGTGGGCGACAGCCGGTGGTGCGGCGATACGTTACCGCCCTCGTTGTCACTGGACGTAGACGAAGGCGGAGTGGGCGGCAGTGTAAAACCTGCGGGCCGAGACGACAGTCAGTAAAATAATAATATTATAATGTCAACCGCCGTGTCGAGAAAAACGTATTATATACAGATCGGTGTAAATGGACACTATACAGTATACGTGGGTATAAAATAATATTATTATTAAAACCATTTTATCAATCTCCAGTTAAGAGAATTTAAGCGCCAGTTAATATTAAACACCAGTTAAACTGGAAATACGATTATATTATAACTCGGTTAACATATTTTAACTGGACTTCGCCCACAGAATAATTAATCTCAGATATATGGCCAGTTAAAGAGTTTACCAAGAGATTAGGATCAATATTATTACATTATATTGTCAAATAATTACATTTTGATTGATTTTATTTTATTTCATAACTTATACTTATTCTTATTGATTATTTAAAGATTATTTTTTCACAAAAGTAAATTTAAAATTAAATTAAAACAATAGAATTTTACCAGGGAAACAATATGATATATTATAGTGTATTAAATATATTATGATCAGTAAGTCACTGATTGAAATTAGCAATATTATTGATTATAATATAATATTGTTACATACTTAATGGTAACATGCCCATATTACTGATATGACTAACATCAATTAATTCACTTTGATAGTAAATTAGTATTCATATTGTTATACCCTAGATTAATGGATCTCAGAATAAATAGACAGTGTAACATAAATATTTATTTAACAAATATAATAACTTATTTTCAATTGAATATTGAACTAAAAATAAAAAATAGTTTTTTTTTTTTATGAACCAAGAGCTATTTTATAATTTTTTTTTTTATATATATGTAGGTGTTTAAAACTATCAATTAGATTATGTTATTAATTTTTAAATATGTTAAAATTCAAATTTTTTTCTTGCTAAATTAATTAACAATAAATGATAAGCGTTTATTAAATTCACAGCTTTAATTAGTAGAATATTATCAAATTGTGCAACATTTCATGGAAAAAACGAATAAACCATTTGAAAATTTAAGCACGTAAAAAATGTTGTATTTTATAAAACTTTAAAAATTGTTAAAATAATTGACTTGACTAAAATCGGATTTACAAAATGATTATATCGATATATTTTTTTTTTTTAAATTTTAATTATAGCATTAAGGTACATACCTAATAATAATTATTTTAAAAAAAACCCCCTTAAAAATATTTAATAAAACAAAAATTATTATTTGTTAAATAGTTCTGTTAAACTCTGTATATGATTGATAAAATCGAAATTTTTTTTAATCTTCAGTTAGTTTTGAGTTCTGAGACCTGTTAATTGGACACTTATAACTGAAGATTGATAAAATATTGGTCTTGGTTATGGTATGTTACCTGTGCCTTCCATTTTCACATTGAAGTTCGGTACGATTAATCTGTGTGGCTGGCCGAGGAAAGCTCTGGAGGTCAAAACGACCGTGGTGGGTTCTTGACAGTAACTAGTTTTTCGTACCTGTAACACAATAATATTATTAATATTATGATTGAGTAGTTTTGTTTTTCGTTCGATATTCGCATGCCAGCTATATTATACATGAACGCGATCCTATACTATCATCGCGAATCGGAGATTTCAAGTAAATTCAAATGAGGTGTCCATTCTAATTTTAATTCTTCGTAGATAATCGTCGATACAGAATCACGCTGTATAGTAATAGTTCGTGCCGCCGTATTGTCGACAATACGATATGTAAAGTAACCGAAAAAAAAAAACTGAACGCCATTATAATAACAGTCGGTTTCTACACAATAAATGTTTATTCTGACAATATTATACGAATTATACGAGTGCGGTGTAAAATAAACACATGCAGGCGTTTTACGTATACCTTCGATGTACGCAACGGTGATTTTTTAAAAAAATTTGTAACACTTTTACATAGGTATGTTTAAAAGTCTAAAAGAATATAAAAACACTAATGTTTATACAAATAAAACCAATTAATTCCTCCGCAAACACACGAGGCTAACCTATATTGTAACGGTATAATAAAATATAAAAATACGTAGCGATTAGAATAATTCAAAAACGGTAATCTATTAAGATAATTATACAGAAAAATCTGAATCGAAAAATTGGTTTCTTGCAATCACTAAGTAAATTATACGTCCAATTAAACCCGATTAATATTGTGTTAATAAAATAAAAATAATAATAAAACCGTCCGTCATTGCTGTGGTTCGCTGTTCCTATATATTTACGCTTATTAATATTATTCGAATTTTCGTCCGATGTTCGGTTTGTTAAAAAAAAAAAAATAATAATAATTATATAGAAAACTATAGATGTTCTAAACGAAATTGATTTATAAGAATTTTAATCGTCCGCCGTCGGGATGCCGATAACAATATATTATAATATGTTTTCTGGTCATCAAATTCATTACATAACAAATATTTAAAAAATTTTTTTTTTTTTTATACTTATACTTATCGGTTATAATTAACTATCGAGAGCGTTACCGAAGTAAAAATATCAAATATTATCAAACCAATTTATATACTGCGCGGGACAAGTGCCGTAATTGAGTAACTGCATAAAGAGTAACCAAACATTTGAGTAATCAAACATCGTTATAACCGTACATAACCTTTATAGGTTCTGGGCGAAACGTGAGGGTCTTACTATTTTATTATCATACTTTTAGATTTGAGGACCGAGATTAGAAGTGAAAAATGTATTGGTTTTGAAATGATGTTTATTCTCTGTGAACAACTTTTCTACCAGAAATTTTGCTCCGATTTTAAGTGCAACATCTTCATTGAAGGGGAATTTTAACTGGGTGGTACTTTAGAGAATTCATTTTCTGATTTTCCCGGCGGTTTTCCCAATAAAAGGGAAAACGTGCGAAAAACGAAATATATTATTATCAATTTTGTTTTTTGTTGTGATTCAGTTTAAAATATTCGTAGACTTGAAATTTGGATAGGAACTTTCTTGGAATATTTGTGATTAACGCACCGATTAGCGGTGCGTTAAGGCTATTTTTTTTTCGCAAAATTTTTAATGATTTATGAATTACCTTATTGTCAACAAGGGGGAAAATACGACTAATAATGCTCAGCTTAAAATCGCTTTCCGTTAGCGATGATTTATCTTTGAGTACAGATATAAATTAAATCCCCGTGTACTATGAATATCCTTACTTCCAACATGTCCAAATTTTAATTCTGCGGGTACATTTTTCATACGCATTGAAAACATTGATTTTAATTTTTAATATAATTTTATATCTCAGTGATGATTTTTTTTTTCTTACGTACATATATGTATCATAGATATACGATGTGATTATTATAATTTAATATTATAATAGTCGGTCCAATTGGACGTGTTTCTAGTGTCAAGTGCCAAATATAATAATAATATTATAATATTAAGACGAAGCGGGTACGTACCTATGTATAATTTAAACACGTGGTTAATGATTTATAAGAGAGAAATAAAACTCCATTGGTAACAGCAATATAGCAGAGCCGGCCAGTAGCTATTAAAGTTGTCAGTTTGGCCGATAACAACAACACTACGTAATATCGGGGGGGAGGGAGGAGGGGGAACGACTACGTGAAAAACCCCGTCTATGAATATTGATTTGTCTTGCCGATTATAACATTATATAGCAGCTGATGAAATTGATTTTCAGTGTGTGTGTGTGTGTGTGTGTGTGTGTGTGTGTGTGTGTGTGTGTGTGTGTGTGTGTGTATTGCTATTACCTACTGACTAAACAACCGCATAGGCACCTGCATATATATATATTTATTTATTCAGTAAACCCGACTAACCGATAGGTCTTACGAAATATTATTATATTAAGCATAACGTTATATTATGGGTACTATTTTTTTTTTTTTTCTATACGGTTAAATCGTGATCTCTCGATCATCAGGAAACGTGACGTCATCGTGTTGTATTATTATTTATTGCCGCCACGGTTAATGGGAGCCGTTACATGTAAATTAAGAAAGAAAAAACCCCGCAAAAAAAAAAAATAATAATAATAGATATATATTCTATATTCTCTCTTTTTTCCAATGATAATTCTCGGAACTGTCGTTTTACAATATCGGTAAAATTTCGTTCGGTCGCGTTCGCGCCGCGCGGTTCCGCTTTGAAATAATTATTTTACTATATACCTATTTATACACTGCAAGAGTGCGGCGAATTATTAACATTTTATTTTCTCCTAATAAACTAGTATAATACAAGTAAAAAGACCGATACGGCCGGTGATGGGTGTACCACTGTTATAGGAGGGTAGTTTAAAGGTTATACTATTATATAGAGAGTGAATTAATTTATATTCGTATGAAATGATAACGAATTGGTAACGAAAAACGATTCTGAGTTAAGTATATTTAGTCACATTTTTCCATTGATGCCAAAGTAATCCAGAAATCAACAACGAAACTCCTTTATACACAAAAAAAATGATTAGTTTATCGTATTTATTATGAAAACTACAATGACCTCCGCGGTCAAAATCAAACATACCACAAGAAAGTTCTAATAAAGTTTTTAATTTGAACAAGATTTCTCGAAGAAAATATGTTTACAGATACAGAAAAAAAGTTACATCATAGTAAAAATTCAATACATTACTGGTTTTACACAGAATTAATCAAAATATGTACATAATAGTTATGTTTGGGGGGGGGATAAGTGTTATTTATATATGGATGTAAATATTATGTGCTTATATTTATTTATAGTTATATATATTATATATGACCTTAAAGCTACGGAAAAGCAATAAACGCCCGTGAATGTACGTTATTTATCTCAACGTTTTATAAAAATATATATACAGGATAATTTTTTTAAAATATACCAGCAAATTTCCCGGAGGATTTCAAATGAAATTGCAATTTCTGTTCTTTTTTTGTTAAAACATTAGAATCGTTTAAGTTTTATTTCAAAAACTTTTTTTTAATTTTTACCCCTACTCCATGTGCCATAAGTATACACTTTCGTTTTTCAAATAGCAACCCACACTTTTTTGAAAATAGATGCAAATAGATAGAGAATATTTTTCTAGAAAGTTTGGTATGCATTATAACACTAATATCAGATTTACCGTTTACAAGTTAAAACCGTTTAAAGTTTAGAGAGTTTAGTGTTTTCAATTTATTATTTAAAAATAAATAATATGTAATTTGTTACCTATCACTAATCCTCCGGTCTAAATTTTAAACAGTTATAACTCATAAACGATAAATCTGATATTAGTGTTATGCATACTAACATTTCTAGAAAGATATTCTCTATTCAACAATATATCCAAAGGGGATTTCTACTAAAAAAACAAAAGTATATACTTATTAAAGTAGGGATATGGAATAAGGGTAACAATTTAAAAACTGTTTAATAATAAAGCTGAAACGATTCCGATTAAAAAATTAGAAATCAAATTCACTAAAAATCCTCCGAGAAAGAAAATCACTAGTTCATAAAAAAAAAAACACTACATATATGTATAAAAAAATATGGTCAAGGTTGATGAATACCTATGGATAGTATACAGATTCATGTTTTTCCTACATGTAAATTTTTATGTATTTTTTATATTATTAATCGAATTCAGCACACGCATTGTGATTTAAAAAAAGAAAAAACAATATTTTATTTAAAAATGAAAAATACGCTCAGTTTTGAATATAAAACACTATGTACTATGATATATGCGAACATTTTTATAGTATTATGAATCTAGTGGTTGTATTATTTCGGGAGTCAATTTTTAATTATCCCTGTATTTTTTTAATAACAGAAAAAAAACGGGAAAGCTCACGAAAAAAACAATAACGGTTTCATTATTTTTTTAAAAAAATTCTTCGGTTAAACATAACCATGATTCTTAGAAACCTGCCATTTTCACAAAATACTTATAATTTTAAAAATATCCTGGTGATTTTTTAGCAATCTATATAGGCATTTGATATTTTCCATTTTTTTGTTTGATTTTTTTATAGATAAAATTATGTGCGCTGTTTAAAAATGTTTGAAAATTCATAACGAGGTTCATCGTAAGTTGCATTTGATGTTTAAAAAGTTGAGCGTAATGTAGTAATTTTTTTACATAAGCATTTTACGTTAAAATTTTGACAAAAATCGAAAAAAATCACGGAATTTAAAAATATGTCAAACAGAACTTTGTTCTGAAAGAACGGTTTATTATTGCGCAGATATAATTTTAAATAATTTTATTTATTTGAAATAAGCGTTAGATAATCTGTGTTAATATAATTATACAATTTCACTGCTGCAATTGTTTCTTCAAATCATGGAAATTTAAATATTCAATATAGAAATATAAAAAATATAAATATAATACAAATATACACGTTGTGAAGGTGTGTAGGCATGTTCCTTACTAAACACCCTTACATAAACCTCCCACCTACCTATTGTAGACACACCCATAAACACTATCACTTAACTTTTTTGTTTTTTTTTTTTTTTATCGAATTTTTCGAAAAAAGAAACAATTGCACTGTATATTTGGGTCTGTTATAATTTCTCGGTACTTTTAGTGGCTCCCTCTGGAGCAAATAAACTTAAACTCGGGAATCAGTTATTTCATAGACAGACTGAAGCAATTCAACTTTAGTTGAGTTTCAATATGAACTTGTTGTGGGAGAAGAATGTATTTTAGCTTTGTACACCTCTACAGACCCCGAATGGAACCAGGATGAAATTATGTGCATAAACGATTTAAGTGTCAAAAATCTGCTTTTTATGTTTTAACAATCTTTAACACAACCATTTGTATGATCAAATTTCATGTTTTCACAAGAAATATCAAGTTTGAAATACTACAGACTCATCGAAGTAACGGCGTCAAAATATGTATATATATATTGCATTATTGTGAGAGTGTGTTTTTATAAGGTTTCAACTTCCAACCCTCACTGTCACTGTTTGTTTGCAATTTAATAAAAATCTTAAGAATTATTTTACATAATATTTTGATAAAACTTTTGCGACTTCTTATTGTTACCGGAAGGTAGTAATAGAATACTTTTCATAGTTACAAGTTCGGAGGGATAGTAAATCATGATGTAGGGTAGGAGAGGGGGTTTACGTCGTCAATGGGTGTCATAGTGTTTTTAAAAACCAAAATAAAATTGTAATTAATATAATAAAACTTTGGCAACAGTCACTATTTTATAAATGAAGTATATATACATGATAAAAAAAATCGTGCAAAATATTGTAACGGCAATACAGAAAAATTTGTCTTTAATGACGAAATTTTTCTGCTCACGGGTGGTGTTTTTTTTTCTTTTACCAAGGACGAGTAATCGATTAAAATTTTTTTTTTACTAACTTTACAACGTAACAAAAATCCGTACCTACTTATTAATTATGTATATATTTATGTATATATTGTTTAATAAAAATAAAATAATTAATTATAATAATCAAATTTATTATTATACGCGCATACTGCGTGTGTGTGTAGTTTTAAGTATGTATGTTTAGTTATAGAGGCACTAATCGAAAAATCGTAACGAAAACCGGTATTATAAAAAAATCACATAAATTTTATTTTATTTTATTTTCTTTTACCTTGCCATAATGTCTGGGAGTATCATCTATGTCCATCGCAGAACACGGGGACGGCGGACAAGAAGAATTCTCCGTGTATTCCGGTTCACTTAGCGGTTCATCTTTTACGTTCACCTCCTGGGTGTCGTAGTCATCATCTTCTTTGATTTCTTTGATGCTGATCAATTCTATGTTATCGGTACCGTCATTGCTGACATCGTCGAATGTCAGTTTACAAGTCCCATCCTGGCTGCTGTCGTCTTCCACATCTGAAAAAGAAAAGCCCCAAAATAAATAAATAATCAACAATAATTGTTATATAATTATTATATAGTAACAAATGTCACGATTACAAAATTGTGATAATAATTAAAACGACACCAAGGGATCATTTGCAGTCAACTTATTTTAAAGCAAATTGTAATTTTTTCTTTTTTTTCTTTTCGAAAATTTTAAAACCGCCTATATATATACAACAGCGAAACAATTAACTATTAATCAAGTCAAGTTGTATATACAAAAAAGCCTTCTCGTTGAAAGTTAACAACAAAATTAATATAACTCACAAAGTTCAAAGTAAATATGTATAAAAAAAAATAGGACATACTTTGCACGATGGGTGGGCCACTGTCATAGATAAGAAGTTTAGAAGGTAACATATAAAGGGGAATTGAATGTACTTATATATTATTCTATACACAATGATTAACCTTTATTAACGAAAAACTATTCTGAACGAAGTTCGATTTTACATGTTTTGAAAGGCCGTAGTATTTACGATTTAAAAATAACAGATTTTTTTAAATTTTCACTCCAGTCAAATTTCCTTTCAGAAAAGGTGCTACACTTGAAAATCGAAGTAACATTTCTGGTGGAAAATTTGTTTACAGAAAAAAAAAATACATCATTGTAAAACCAATATATTCTTCGCTCCGTCCAGAATCTTAATTTTTATGCGAGAATAAGCACTTTTTAAATCACGATATTTCACAAGCTCGTATTTGGCTAAAGAAACTAAAATAATGAAAAAAAACCACAGTTAATGGTCTTCACTTTAAGTTCGATAGTAGGTCAATATTAAAATTATAACAGTGCGAAATTGGTTGTGCTGAACGTGAATTCGCCATGTCGCGATGTTTACAAAACGAAGACAACAAAATATTATGCACCGGTAACGTCCTCATCGTAATCATAATATTAATAAGTGAACAAAAACGGAACAAACGTTTAACGAGTAAATATGCGTAATATTATATACTCGTGGACGATATTGTATGTAATTGATAATCACTAGAACGAAGACAGCCTAATTTATTGCCTTTAATTGTATAATCGGCTGTATATATTTGAAATCCTTTATGTTTATGCGGTATCGAGTTCTCGGACCGAAGCCGATTTTACCGAAATTCATTATCTATCGATGGATTTTTATGATATTATAATATTGTTGCCATGGCCGCTTGAATAGTACACAACTCGAAATGTATATTGTTAATTATTTAATGTTAATAATCGTATTTATAATTCAGTGTATATACCAATAATCATTTGGTAATTAAACAGTGTGACAATGTAATAATACGTAATTGTTCCCTATACACAAATCAGCCTTGGGACAATATCTGAATGTACGTACGAAGGCGTACCCAAAAAAAACCGAACTATTTTTGTACAAAGTTAATTTAATTTTTTTACAAAAAACATTTAATCTCCTTCAAAGTACTCTCCGTTGGAGTTAATGCATATGTTCAATCTTTGTTCTAATTTTCGAAACACTTTTTAAACTCATCTTTTGTAATGCCTGCCAACGCCTCCGTCGTTTTTTTTTTTTAACTTCATCAATGTCCGCGAAACGCTTTCCTTTCATGTTCCTTTTCATTCTGGGGAATAAAAAGAAGTCGCAGAGAGACAGGTCGGCTGAATAGGGTAGATGGGACACAGTGGTCATATCATTTTTGGTCTAAAACCGCCGCACAAATAGGGCTGTGTGAGCAGGAGCATTGTCATGATGAAAAAACCAGTCTCCTGACTGCCACAAATCAGGTCTTTTTCGCATCAAACTGTTGCGTAATCTTTTTAACACTTCTAGGTAAAATACCTGGTTAACTGTCTGACCAGGTGGAACAAACTCCGAATGGACGACTCCTCTCACATCNGAAGTCGCAGGGAGACAGGTCGGGTGAATAGGGTGGATGGGACACAGTGGTCATATCATTTTTGGTCAAAAACCGCCGTACAGAAAGGGCTGTGTGAGCAGGAGCATTGTCCTGATGAAAAAACCAGTCTCCTGACTGCCACAAATCAGGTCTTTTTCGCCTCAAACTGTTGCGTAATCTTTGTAACACCTCTAGGTAAAATACATGGTTAACTGTCTGACCCAGTGGAAAAAACTCCGAATGGACGACTCCTCTCACATCAAAAAAACAAATGAGCATTGTCTTAATGTTTGACCTCACTTGACGAGCTTGTTTAGGGCGAGGCGATGCTGGAGTCTTCCATTGGCTCGATTGTTGCTTGGTTTCAGGATTATATCCATAACACCATGATTGGTCACTTGTAATGACCTTGGAAAAGAAGTTTGGGTCATTTTGGAATTCTTCTTTCAAAGAAGAGCATGATTCCACGCGGCCTTGTTTTTGCTGCTCAGTTAGCAGTCGAGGAACAAATTTTGCAGCCACCCGTCTCATCCCCAAANTTTTCCCTAAAGCATCACCTTTGTAAGCTGTTTTCAACATCTCAAGGGTTTCTGTGCCTGTTTTCCCGAGCAAGAAGCAAAAATTGACGGCCGCGCACTGTTCACGCAAATCAGCCATTACAAAAACGACGAGTACGAAAAATAACTTTTAAAAAAAATACCACACCAATGTAACACAACCTTCCACGATGACGGCCGTTGGTATATTGAATGTTGAGAAGTATATTTATACGCCCCTACCGAAAAAAATCGGTACTACTAAAACTCTGTCCCACACAACATCAGTTTGGTTTCTTTTGGGTACGCCTTCGTACACGGTGTTTTTTTCTTTCTTATTAAATATATTTTTTCTGAGGTTCTCGTATCAGGAATGACGTTGGTCGAATTGTTTCCGTACCATTCTCGTGCGTTAGTGTAGCCGAATAACGTGTTCTTTTCTTTTTTTTTTTTAATATAAATTATTCATTTACGCACTTTCATTTTGTTTTCTATCGAAAACATATTTATTTATAAAATTTAAAATGGAAAATGTCTACAATAAAATACGTATACTACATATGCTTATGATCTGAAAATGTTCAAAAACTATAATAAATGTAAGGGGTTATTTTGTTTTTTTTTTTTGTTACATAATCATTTTGTAAAAGTTTGTTGGTTTTATTTAAATCAATACTTTTTTAAAATATAAATATATATATAAGTTATTAATCATATAAGTAATAAGTAACATGATAACATTTATTATGTTAATGGGTGCAAAACATTAATCACATTTAGATTCCAGTTTTTTCTCAGTGAAGTCTTAAATGAATTTATCCATATCTAATATATTGTCTATTAACTAATGTTATATGTTCTATGGACAGAATAGCTAAATCATATAGGTAGCTGGAATATAATAATTATTCTGAACATTTACACCACGCTTGAAAAAAAGTGATAAGGATTGTCCGATTCCGCCGAATTCTGAATAAAAATAATATAAGCCCCATTGTTAGATGGGTTTTAATTTCTCCTAAACAATTATCGAAAGTGGACTTGTCATACTGTTGCACTAAGCCCTTCAAACAACCTAACAACCAGTCGATATATAGATGGGTTTTATTTGAATTTTGAAACCCGATTGAGGGGATAGAGACCACGATTTCAACATTGAGACCGAGTCGGGTAAACATAATAGATGATATCTCGTCGCTGTAATGACGACAACTGAGAAAAAAGTTCAATCATTTTTGGTACAACGAATACTAATATATAGGTCGCGTGCACGAAAATAGTATTTATGTCAAAACGCCGATGTCGATGTTTGATCGCACGTGTCATTCGATAATATGTTCTCAACAGGTTGTCGGAGCCGTCGAGTAGTGCGGAGCAAAATTATTAAAGCGAGCGCACGAGTCGTGGCATTTTTTTTCCGCTTTTGCTTTTGCTTTGCACTGCTGTTGCCATCATGTTTCCGACAACTATACTGACGGAATTTTTACTGCGCCACGTGTGGCACATTATAATAATTTTCCTTAGTTTTTTTTTTTTAACATCTATATTTTAAAATTACTACGACGGCTCTTATTCATAAACTTCGCGACATTCCCATAAAAAAAAATAAAAAAAAACAATATAAATACGTAAACGCCGTACGAACGTCGTGTTTTCTGGGTCGATTCGAAAATCCTCACTATTATATTACAATGACCGATAACTTTTTCCCCTCCTCGGGCAACTTAGATAAACGGACTAATAATAATTATTGCAGCAGCAGCTAAACAAATTAATAGTATTCTAATAATAATTATTACATTTATATTTCCGTAAATTAACGCGATTATTATAATAAATAACATCGTGGTTATTTCCTTACACCGACGTAATAATAATAATAATAATAACAATAAATGACCACCGCCACTACACCAGATTTTAGTGGAACGTGTAACGGGTTATTATTATTATTATTATTATTTTTTTTTTTATTATTCTTTCGACTCATAGCCGTCGGTCTGAGCCTCTCCGCCCCACTCCTATCTTATTATATTCGCCATTATCGCAAGCGGTTCACTGCGTTCATCTTACCGCCGCTGCAACACAGTGCATTATATTATTATTATTATTTTTTTATTTTGTACCTATATAATATATATATTGTTCTACCGGTCTGTTATGAGGAATGTGGCGAAGAATGTGCCGTTTACGCCGCCACCGCCGCTGACGAACATAAACAGCGAATATTATTACAAAGACGATGAACGCGCGTCTACCAGTGGTGTATTTTCAACTTTTTCGCGATAGAGGTGGGCGGGAAGGGTCCATAGTTTATAACATTTCCGTACCCGAAACCCTATCGTCAAACTCGTACGAACAGAATCCATATAACACGAACTATTCACTCACTATATTTCCGTATAGGTACACAAATAAAAAATTTAATTCTCAAACTAATCGTATATATCCGTAAACGAAACTTCGTTCCAATAAACGTGCGTACAAGAGAACGATGTTCAATTGAATTTGCGAAAACTTTGGAAAATATTTCATTTTTCACCGATAAGACAATTTTCAAGATAATATTGCGTGATGTTGTAATAAATAATATTGTATAAAGTATACATATAATATATACAATTCGGTATCTGAAGTAGTGACGTGTAGAATAAGATATCCAAGTAAATACATATTATCTCACCCGTACCGCCACCATAGTTGTCTGTTTTAACGCCGCACCATACCGACGGATCAATTTGTATCTTCAACAATCAGACAACCCTCTTTCCCCTTAGTTAGATTATAAATCCTGTGACGACACGGTCGGTCAGCGGCGAATCTGTCCGCCAGCAAAACACGATCAGCGACGTCGTTTCAAATACTCATTTTATTTATTTGATAAACATAAAATAACACTAAACGGTACGTTTAAATTAGATTTAATAGTATTAACGTATATAATATGATAAATTATGGTTAAACATTCAAAAAAAAGATAAATTGTCTATATAATGACACAAGCGATTTTTAACACTGGACATAGGGTAAGTACAATGTATAATACGAATGAACTGTGTAAATGTTTTTCACTTAACATAACTGATTCGTTATGGATAGTTGTTGAGAATACAACTTTCTAACATGTAAAAAGTAGTGAGAAAAGGGCAGTTTCCGTATACGGATCCTATTCGTGTATGAGTTTTAGAGCAACTAATCATGCTTTAAAGGGTTTCAATATGACAATATTAAATTAATATGTAAATTCCAACCGTCTAATCACCTGAGTGACTATAACAAACTATACCTAACCCATCAATAATCAGTTTTTCATTATGATAAAGTATTTATCACAAAAGTATCTTGACTGTAAGGATAATATTTAGCCACAACTTGGAAACCTATAACGACACAACTTATGCACGTATAAGTTCTGTACTTATTACATAGCTATATACTGTAGGAATATTAATCTGATTTAATTATTGGCTTTGGAGATCCATTAACCCCGGAACCCTTCTCCTCTACCCGTAATTATTCCACCGGGGACTATAATAAACATATTACTATATTATTTATATAGCCATTAGGCATTGTTATTATTATAAAGACGACTAAAATACGTGACTCACCTATAGCGCCCAACGATTCTGTAGATCCGTGCGTGGTACAATACGAATGTTCGGCCTTAATCGGGGCATCGCGCAACAACAGTGCATCGGTTATCAGACGGTCGTTGAGCACCACGTGAGAATTTGACCGGCTGTTGTTGATTATCAGCCAGTCAGTCGGGTCGTCCGTGGCCCTCAGTGCGTCGCCTAGATCCTGTGAAACAAAACGAAAACGTTAAGACACAATCATTTTTAACAGTTCATTCCCCTATAGGTACTCTACTTGGTTTTATTATCAAACAACTTTTTATATTTTTAAAACCGCTCCAAATTTTTAATAATTCAGCAAGATATTCGACATTATCCATTTAAAATTTAAATAGATATGCAGAGAAACGCCAAATTACATACATTTTATACACTGATCCAAATTCGGTCTAAACGATCAATATCTAAATACGCATTCCGACGTGGTTTTCGACTAGGTATTAGGTTTCAGGTTTATACTTGGAACATCAACTTCCTCGAAGCGTCATCATGTTCGGACCAACAGGTAGATAATATTTTGAATAAATCCTAAAACCAACTCGGTTAGCTACTTTTTGACTTGGACCAAACTCGGGTATAGGGTCTGTAAATACACATCCGGGCCACACGAGAGGAAAAAATGTCTCGCCCTCGAGCCATAAATAATATATTATGAGTCATACTTAGGCACTTATATATTATATTGTAATTGTTATTATTATTAAAATGTCCCGTACTCGAGTTATACTAATGTAGTATGAGTCATTACTTATCTATATTATATTATACCAAATTATTTTCTTAAGTAACAACGGCTCCACAGTCTATACATTTGCATCCTTTTTTTCGCCATTTATACACTTATTATTACGCTTCCCGAGATGTCAGTGAAACAGCGTTAAAAGCTCCTAGCTTTTGTTTCTTAATAAAAGTTTGTTTAATAAAATAGGATACACCCTTGTCTGTACATAGAAAATTACATATCTATCGTTTTATGTAGTTACTCCCGACGATTTAAAAATGACGGGAGGTGATTCATGTAATATGTTCGAGAGGTGATCGGAACAATAAAAAATATAATGCGAGCTCCAAACACAACTCTTGACCCCGTTTTTAATTCGATATCTATAAATACGAGTATACAATCAATATAGATATAAAATATACACTCGTATTTATTCTATATAGACAATAAATATTAGTAGGTATATAATATGATTATTATTATAATATTTTACTGTGTAAGAAAAAGGAGAAATTTTCGACGAACGATAAAAAGTGCCACAACAGCGCCCGCGGCGACATTTTACGACCACCACCATTGTCGCCGCTACACTTGAAAAACCGCATCGTGATTCGACAATATAACATCGTATATACTTCAAAAATATTAATCTATCCGTCTACACACGACGTGTACGTTGAAAAATTGACATCCGATTCGTATTATAATATTTGACACCCACCCACTCGGGTTTACTCGCGTCAGTATAAAATACGTTATTATTTTTTTTTTCCTGTATACGGTTTATTTAGTGAATATCGATCATAAGAATCATCCGCTTTTATCAGTTCATAATTTAATGGGACAGCGTGCGATCACTTAATTTTTTGCAGTTGTTGGTAACAAAATCAAAAACCGAAGTCTATACAAAGCCCTGTAACAAGTTTGTTTTTTTTCCAACAAAAAATAGAAAATGTTTAAAAAAAATCAAAAGCTTTAATCCTATAAGCTATGTTTTGAGTAGAGAAGAAAACAGGTCCCTTAATACAAAATTAAAACTGATAGTATTTTTTGATAACACTTTTAAATTTTAAATTGTAACGAATTGTAAAATATATATTATAAGCAACCGTTATTCGAATAATACATACGAAAACGATATGTGACAAATTTCAAAAACAGATTTTTACGCGGTCGATATAATACACTCATATATATATATATATATATTTATATATACAACACTAAAAAAGAACACCGTGATGTGTTTTGCAAACGAAATGTAAACAACGTGTCGTATTTTTGAATCAATATCAATAGTACGCGCGCGCGAAACGACAGTTTTAAAAATCATAATGTTACAAATAATAACATTTCGTACGATAATATTATACATACTATAACTGCGATGTTTTGAAAATATTTTTCGCATCGCTATAAAATAATTAATACGAAATGGCCTACGGACGTTATATTATATTTTGAAAACAATATTATCATTATTAGTATACACGAGAGTGCACAGTGAGCAGGCTACGACCAGGAAGCCGATCGAGAACGTCTTCCTTGCAGATGTAAAAACGAAAAAACAAATTAAAAAAATGCTTCGAACGGGCAATATATATCACGGTATTGTGATAACGTGCCCATGTAAAACACAAACGAAAAGGCTTTTACTATATCGGTTACATGGTGATATTATACATTTCGCGAAGACTTTTCAATTCTTCAACTCATCGTCGTTATCGAAGGTTAACTACGAGACGACACACATCGTATTTTACATAATAATTGATACACCGATGCGGAACCGTCTGCTAAATACTATCGTTTACAAAGTGCATAATAAATGTTTTACCGCTAACCCAGATTTCAAAAGCTTTTTCGTTCGTTTTACGTGTAAGAAAGGTTAGGAACGTGTTCTACAAATCTACAATATCGCAAATTTAAGAATATACCTATATAGTAAATTATTCGGTAGGTATAATTTACAATGTTATTAAATTGAAAGCATTTACGTGTTTTTTTTTTTTTTTATAACAGTAAATATATATATATATATATATATACATGTACAGTGTACACTGTATAATAATATCATCAGTTTTTTATTATATGCAAATATAGATGGGTTATCACGTCGTGGGCTTTTTAACTTTAATAATTATTCTAAAACAAATTAATAAATAATTAATCGAAACTGCATCTGCAGTCATTAATTATTCATATCAGCGCGGGGGCAAGTATATAAATTATGAAAAAAAATAATAATAATAAAAAATAAAATATTTTTAATCTATTTTGTCGAAAATTAATTCCAATCTTATCATGTATATTATATAGAGACAAATTATTACGAGTCTATAAATTCTGCGGCTGGTAGTATATAGGTTGCATTGTATTTGTAGGATTGACAATTTCCTACATTATAATATGTATAATTAGAAAGAATGTTTCAAGTCAATATACACTGCAGATTTCAATAATACAAGCAAATTAAATGTTAAACAGTTATAAATGTCTTAATGGCGTAATTACTAAATAGCCTATCCTAAACCTAATGAGATTAATAGCCCAAGTCCATTATAAAATCGATATTAAGAAAAATCATTGCGGTATTTTAAAAATATGCGGTTAATCTATTCGATTTTTAAGGTTTACTCGTTTCGATTTGATATTATATTATAATATACACGTTTATATATATATATATCTAATAGAGAATAAACTTTTTTCTCGATCTGAGCAAATGGAAAAACTAGTTTTTTTTTGCATATATTACATACATGCGTATACTATATAGATATACCTACTTGTAAAATATCGCGTTTGCAAAGCTATCCAAACGAAATATATTAGTATTAATATAATATAATAAAGGTATCACATATCATATGTGTTCCACATAGAATATTAAATGCATAATTTGGATTTTTTTTTTAACAACGTGTCCAGTAAAAAAAAAAAAAAAAAATCATAAAGGTTTTTTACCTTTTGTCCTTGATGGTATCACCACGAGTGTATAAATGTTGGATTAAAGAAGAAAAAAAATGTTAATACCTACGAAATAATTTCTATAGATTTTTACACATTATAATTGGCATCCAACCGCGTTTGGAATCTTTCCATGTCTATATTATATTATGTCGATGAATATCAAACGAATAACATTATTTTTTTTTTAAATATATATACATACGCGAAAATTCATTAACTTCACAGGTTTTATTGGCCCGCGTATATATAATACTGTGGAAGCATTCATCACACTCACGCTCGTTTTTCCTGTTCGACACATTATGAAGTGACGAGTGATATTCGAACGAAACTGTTTTCGAAATACGTTATAAAAGCCGTAAAGTCTGTAAACTCGAGATTTAAAACACTAAATCATCATAGTATACTATATGCCGAGTACAGACCCTTTAAATGCTGCAGACGAAATCTTTCACTCGAATATAGGTACACTACTTAAAAACCATCAGGCCATTACTTAAATCCTCGTTCAATAAAATTGATCAATTGAGATTGTACTATGTTGAAAGTGGTTCCCAACCGTTAATTGTTTTTCAAATTTTAAATTTAAATTTAAAAAATCGATAATTTAAATTTCGGACGATTCTACGCCGTATAAGAAACAGAACGATTAGAAGAATCTCCGTAAGAATATATAGTCTAAAAACTAAAAAATTGGGAAACACTGAATATTAAAATATTTTAAGAACGTGTGCGTGTAAAAATTATAATATAATAATATTATTTAAATGCATATATGGTAAATTTAAAGCAAATCGACAACAGTCGAAAAAGCAGATAATATTATAAATTATTTAGGAACATCGGAAATTGGGCGTGTACGAGATGATAAGATAGTAATATTATTATTAATATATTATTTGTGCATATTGCGGCTGTGAGGCTGTGAATTTAACGCCTCTAAAAAAAATAATAATAGTAAAACAAAATTTAACAAACACTCTTAAAATCCCGAATAGTTGCTGCATTAAAAGAAAAAAAAATTAATGTATACACAAATTATCTGCAAGTTTTACCCAAACTTTTATCTAACATTATTAGATTAGGAAAAAGGAAAAAGAGAAGTAGTTTGTACGAAAACACGCTTTTGACAAATTTAATCGATTATTGATGTTTTTTTTTAATTCGAAATTAACGGTTATCATTAAAACGCCTTAAAAATGTTTAAATTCAAGAAGAGACATATAATACCTGTGATTATTGGTAAATAAATTGGTACAAATCCATAGAACTATTTTTTTTTTTTTTTTTTGCTCATTCAACTTTTGGCAGATGAAAGTTATAGGTTTTCCATTCTCATTCGCGGTTTTTCGTCGATTATTAGTTTTAGCATTTTACTTGCAGGGACACTATACGAATCCGACAAATACCTTGAATCGGCATTACTATATAAGGTTGGGATCAACAGGTCGGGAAGGTTTTTCCATTGTCCTTCCGCGTCATCTGTATAAACCCGTCGTGCCGCCAGTCGATATATAATCGACTATCGATTTCTGAGCTTTTATTTCACGGTGATACCGCGAGTCGGGAATATTATTTTAGGGGGACTTTTGTTTTCCCGGGGACGATTTTTATTATTCCGATTGTCGCTGTCGTCGATATCGTATAGTATTTTTATTTTTTTTTTTGTAAAAAAGGATTTGCAGCTCTCCGTATAGTTTACGGGTTTACTACACGAATAACGTAGGTACGACTCATTGGTGTCCGCGATCCATTATATTTCCGTCTGCTATCTTTGTGGCGGCGGCGGCAGTGAGAAATGCGGCGGCGAGACCGTGAATATTTTAAATACGTCCGGGTACCAGGTATATGTATATAATATGTAACCGGCCTTTCTCTATACGCGTATAATAATCATACTGTATGTGTGTATACATACGTTTTATACGTATGTATAAATATATGTATGCATGTGTGTATTATATACAGGGTGTTCGGCATGTACGACTTCGTTTCGATATCGCATGTATACCGGTTTGCACAATGCATATTATGATTGCACTCTATATACATATATATTTATACTTTCACCCGCGGGCAACGTATAACATACAGCAATGCGAGAAACACGTATAAATCGGATCACGCCCACTATTGTTGGAATTTATTTATTTATTTATTTATTTATTATATATATTTATTTATAAGCCACGCCCTTGCCGAATATTATTCACTCGATTAACTAGTTTTTCGCCTTTCTCCGAGCCGGGCGGGCGGGTGGCAAAAAAATAATTCCCGGTTCCTAGAACGCGACCGCGGTATTACTCGCGTATAGGTATAACCGCATCGGTAACTTATACGAAACGGTAACCGCCTTCGGAACTGTTCGTTATACAGGTATTACTAATTCGTGTTACGATAAAAATAAAAAAAAAAAAACGTATCCTAGATAAACTGAGCGTGCGCGCTGGCGACATAATATTATTGACACGGTAAAACAGGAAAACTCCTCTGCATTAACTGCTTTCGCTGCGATCGGTCTTAAATCTGGCTGTGATCGGGTCCAAAAATCGCGACTGTTAATAACAATTAACGCCAATTAAAACTGCGAATGATAACGATACGACGAACCGAGGGGAAGAAAAGTTCATTTACAAATAAACATTTTCATAAAATTCATTTAATACATAGAAAATTCCGAGATGAGTAGTTCACGATGACTTACCTAAAATAATGTGTTATTGTTTTTTATACGTTATGCTATTCATTTTTTTTTTTTAAATTATCCGCTTATATGTGTTAATTTACAATGGGGCTTTTCGATCCGGTGTGTTCCCCCCGCCCTCTCATAAGATACCCAATAAACTACCGCGACTGATAACAATAAAACGGTTATCACACGTCATGTTTAAAATGTCGGAATACGAGCGTTACGAACATTTTCGGCCATTTATTCTTTATAATATGACCGCGATTTTCAAAATGGCCACCGCTGATAAACGAGATAGTTAACCTACACACTGTACCATTATTTACTGTGATATTGTCACGTCGTCGTGTTCATAATATCGGAAGAGCTGCCGGTTGTTGTAGCGGAGGCGTGAATCGTCACCGGGTAAAATAAAATATTGGCGGAAAAATTCGTGCGTCGTCGAAGCGTTTACCTATATACAACGGGTATCGTGAACATAATATTCTACGGGGGGAGGGAGAGGGCAAAAAAAATATACATAAATGAAAAAAAAACAAAATGAAAAAACTGATAGTAATTAACACCAGGAAAACATATTTTCGCGGCACCTAAGCAAATATTGTCGAACGCTCAACACGGTACATGAGGGACCTCTGTGGCCGCGATAATTTAATATAATTTTATTAAACGTCCTGGGACGATCGCGCTTGAAATATTAATTCGGAGCTTTTGACGTGGACATTCTATTTCACTCTCGCAAGGGCCACGCGAAAAGACGACGGATTTTAACAATATCGGGTAAAACGATTTTGTATGATGTTGGAAAATCTCTTTATTTGTGTACTGTCGGTACAAATTTCCGTGTAGCTTTTACACCGTTGACAAAAAAAATACGCAAATATTCCGACACTGCGCTCAGTGCGTTTTTTGTTCCCAATAGTTTTTTCCGGAAAATAACAAAATATATTTAAAAACAGTAGGTTTTTGTATTTCCGCACAGTCATAACCTTTTCTCATATTCTGACCCCTTTAAAATTTCCCTACTTTATACATAACCAAACAATTGCATATTCCGGCCCGTTTGTACATGATGATTTCGGTTTTGCCTTAACTCCAACTCTTTGCCCTCTAAAAAACATTGAAACTTCTTGCTGTAAAGCCCTCAAGCTCCTGGGGTTCATCAGCTATTTCTCTCAGTAATTTCGTCTCCTTCTCCCCTTTAAATCTCTCTTGTGTTCCCTTGAATGTCCTATCCTGGAATACGAATCCATACTTTGGGACGCTTCCACCTTTTGCGACATTAAGATGATTAAGCGTGTCCAACGTAAATTTCTCGCTTTAGTCACCTCTCATTTCAATATTCTTCACCCTACTCACGATTATTCTCCCATCCTCCTAGAATAACGCCTATCTAACCTATTTGATAGCAGACACTTTTTTAACCTCCTTTTTCTCTCTAATCTTATTTTCGGTAAAATTGGTTTACCTTCTTTACTATTTCAATTTTTTTTTAAGATTCCTCTCCGACATATCCGGTCTTCCCCACCTTTTTTCATACCTCTGTTGTCTACTAATTACTCTTCTAATTTTCCTATTCCCCAACTCAAACGCACCGCCAACAAGGACCCCGTTTTTATAAAAAAAAAAATATACTAGACTATATACTAGACAATTTTTTTTTAGTGTAAGTTTTTAAGTTCAAATTATAGTACAAAATTCGTAAATATCGCAATTGAAAATTGACAATTTGAATCAAGACAAATTTTAATTACGTCCGGGTTTTTTTCCGTAACGCAGACTCATTCATCGATTATTATAACAGTCAATACGATTCGATTGAATTTGTCCGATACATTACGGACTTCCGCGAGGCGGCCGAATCGTCTTTAATATTAAGTCTCGTATCCGGTATTGTTTTACATAAAAATACGTGAGTTAGCATTTGTTTTTATTTTTTTTTTTCCCCAGTCAGCTTATCGGTAACGGAAGCAGAACCGGTAGTTATCACTGTTTCAACACGATTATGTTATATTATATGATGTCGGTAACGGGAATTCGTTCCAGAAGAGGATCAAATCGTTTAACAAAAAAACACGAACGTTATATATGGCAAAAACGATCCACGAGTTTAGTAAGTAGATACCTGCAGTATATATGAAAAATGGCATGGTTTTTTTTTTTACTCCTGAAATACGAGATTTAACCAACATATCATTATATATAATACTATTATAGATATCACGTGTCATACGAAACGCGCGATTATCGGGTTATGTGTTTGCTTTTAATCATACGGAACCTAAATAATGAATAAGCGCGTAAGTTGTATATATATATATAAAAAAAAAAAATTAGTTGTGTGGCGGTATAATGAGTATGACGTGTTATGCTGTGCTGTTTGTGTCGCATTTGCAGAAACAATTAATTTTCGAAAAAACGTATACCAACTATGGATAATAATAATACTAATAATATGTTGAACGTAACGACAATTGTTCGAATAGTATTTATGGGATGAAATATAGATCGAATGCATCGAATACATGGATCACTCGAATATTATAGGTATTAAATAAAATAACAGTGACAAATACATAATAAAACACATAATTTTATATAAAAAAAAAAAGCGTATCCTCAAGTTTATATTAACATTTAGGTTAAAATTACAATTCAAGAAGGACTGTGAGCAACCAGTTTTTTCCCAAAAACATGCTTTACGGGTTCTCGTAAGATTTTTATTACAAGACCCTTTGGACTTGGATACTGAAAATTATATTTCTAAACGCTATAATTAGAGTTTAAATATTCCCTACTTATATGTTTTACTATTTTTCTTAACTTATTTTATTTGTGTATTTTGTCTACATTATCGTTAAAAAATCGAAATCTAATGCTCCCTTCCTCTCTTCCCAATAGAAAAAACAAAATCGATTAAAATTAGACGTTTCTACGAATAATTAAACATAAAACCACAATTAAAATGTAGAATATTTTAGGATGGTCTTATATAGTCTAATATTGACAGACAAAAAAAGTTCTGAGATTTTGATTATTTTGTTTTACTTATATTTTTCATTTGGAGATATTTTGGAAAAATAACATCGTACTACCCTCAACATTATTCTCCTCTTAAAATTTTATTGTTTGTGTTTAAACTCTAATTTCCACATAATCACTACAATTTATGTTCTACGTAATGTAATTGCATTATCTGACCTGTTAGTTTAAATTGACACATAAATTCAATACTAAATATATAGCAACGACTGCCGGATTAAATGACCCACAATTTGCATATTATACTTTTATCGAAATTAAATAGTATTTAGTATATACTATTTATGCGCCCTTATCAATATGGAAATGAACGTACAAATTCGATGAAAACACGCTCTGGGAATTTATATAAAAAGCACTTAAAAAAATATACGCATACTTATATCAGCTATAATAGTCGGCATATTATTATATTATCAAATTAAGTACCAGGTAGATTTTATTTTGGTCAATTTCCTTTTGGATTAACAGGTTAATTAGTCCATTGTTACATTACGCAGAGAAATACTAAAAAGAGAGTACATATAGAAATTATACCTAGCTAAGTACCTTATTAAACGATACTTATCTAATAAAAAATTAATTATATATGCGAATAGACGACAATAATGTATCGGATATACTCGTATATTATTATAATTTATAATTGGACGTCAAAGACAGGAAAATAAAACGCACGCACTAAATAAAATATAATATACAGCAGCTCTATATATGCTCTCAAAATATTTGACTTTCACATGTTATTAAACCGTGGTATACATAACTATATTCAATTTGTGTACCGGATTTGAACTTTATCGATAAAATAATTTATAACTATTTTCATTAATAATAATTGACGCTAAACCGATTAAACTCGTAATATGTTTTATTCTATTAATTATTGTGAAATCGGAAAAATATCATGAATTCATATGACACTTGTTAAACATTTTGTTTCCCTATACAATAAATCTTCTCAAAGAAATATTATATTTTCCAGGAATTCTCAATAAACCTGCAATTGGACACAAAGATTGTATAGAGTACACGCGTATAGAAATAAAAAGTTATTTCAATTGAAATTATCCGAATACTTAGTTGAAACAATACCCTGTATACATAATTACATAAATCCTGCGGTTCCAGACTTATTACTAGGTACGGTGTACAAAATAATGTATTTAAATAAATAATATTTAAGGTACTTGACGAGGGTACACGTGCGGGACTTGATGCGAGTTATGAATTTTTTTTATATCTATTCGTATTGTAGTTTTCTATACACGTATATTTTTCATATAGACAAATATTAAATATAATTAACTCAACAATCTATTAAGTTCATGTGAGTTACAAAACCATATCTAATTAGCCACGTATCCGAACCTAGATTAGATTCATTAATGCGTTTTTCCCTTTCCAAACGTACAAAATGTTTTAAAATTTAAATTTATTTACTTAAAAAATCGTTTTAAAATCAAAAGTTGGTAAAAAGAAAAAAACAAAAGACTCGATTTTAAAACGTATAAAAAAAACAATGGATGGATAAAAATCGGAATTACTAGTTGCAACGAGTGTAGTAGTGTAGTTATGGTGAGTTGGTCGTGTTTTTCACATTTATTAAATAATAAGCGCAAACGGACGACTGACTGTGAGGGGACTTTATGCATTGGCTGGCCATTGTTATATAAAAACACATACACAATGCAACTATGTATATAGTTTTTATTTGAATTAATCAAAAATGTACCGTACCGCAGATTTATATCGAACGAAATAACAACGTTATGAACGCGCTTATTTAAAAAAAATAAAACCATTCCTTTGGCCGGAAACCGTCGAGCGAGTTTACCGTTACCTACCGTTGTGATCACAGTTTTTTTTCTTTTACTTTTCGGTCAGCCATAGAATATAATCAGACGATTAACGAGAATAGTGTCAAATGACGATTTTGTTTAGTCGGTTAATTTTGTAGAAACATTGCAAATTATAGTATTCAATTAAGCCCAATAAATTGATTTAATATAATACGCTAACGAACAAATCGAATTCAATTCGTATTCGTGTTAAAAAAATTAATTAAAGTTTGAAACTATAAAACTTAAATAAACTCTATAGAATTATACGGATTTCAGGATATATATATACAAAAAAAAACTAATAATTTCGACGAGGGTTATTTAAACTGTAAATTCGTGAAGTCCTTAATATTGTAATTGAACGCAATCATTACAATTTATTTATTTTTACACTGGTTTTGTAAATGAAAAAAAAAACCTATTATAATTGGCTTATTTTATATCCTATAATACAATATAATGCTATAGTATACTGTGCCTCGAGGAAATTGTGCAAGTGCGATAATAAGTATAATAATGTAACTAACAGTAATAAATAATAATCGAGTCAATATATATATATACCTATATTTATAAATCTTCAACAAAATTTATAAGTGCGAGTACTGCAAATAATTAAAATGGAAAGTCATACCTATGGCGATAAAAGTTGTTCTTAAAAATACTATGTACAGTATTTTAAATATATAAAAAAAAAAAACCTAATAAACCAACAGGATTTACGTTATATAGAAGAATTTATACATTAAAAAACGTAGAGAAAAAAAATTCCCACCATAATATATCACATTGAAGATGAGTAAAAAGAAAAAGGTTAACAAAACCGCCAAAAAAACTGTTTATAATAATATTTGGCAACAAAAATATGCAGCATGTGATCAATTTATACCATATTATGGATACAGAGTAGGTTAGGTAACCTACCTGCTTGTGTGTCTATATACATTATAATATAATAATTTGTGACATTTTAGCTAATATTATAATATCGTATTAAATATACTTACGAATAATACGAATATATATATACACACACAAATTCCAAGGAGAATGCGTGTCGCACAAAATGTTATTCGCAAACCGGATTATTCAAAGTGAATATAAATATATACTTATGTAAGTACCATTTTTATACACGTATTATACACTTACATTACCATTACCGGTTCCAGTCGTAATTTCGTAGGTACCTATACTTTTTTTTTTTTTTGTGCATGTTTAGTACCCCTTTTATAGCCCCGCGCTGCGGGTATAAGTATTGAAATTTTTGTTTTATTTTTAAATTATAAAAAGATTCAACGGCGTGTATAGGTATACGTACGTACTATAGGTATGTATATAAGGGAATTTTGAAATATACGATTTAAATATCACTGCCTGCATATAGTACACCACACCACACACACACACACACACACACACACACACACACAGTCGGACGACATTTATATTTAATGCCATTAAATTTACATATTATTGTGTTTTATTTACGTAGACGTTTAAATATATATATATATATCTTGCATATAATATTATTATTATTTTGAATATAATACTCCTTGCCAAAGTCGGTTTATGAATTTTTTTTTCGAAAATAATTTCGAAATAATAAGTTATAATTTATAATATGTCGTCTAACGATACTGTATAATATCATCTATTATTATCTCGCTCTCTACAAACGAAATATTTAAGGTTTTCGGCATTGATATCACGGTTTTTTGTATACTGGAGCAAAACGATTTACTTTCAGATCGTTATAAAATATTGCAATTCATCCGCAATAAAAGAAGAAAGAAACAGTTTCAAATACCTGTATAAATATCTCGGAAAGAAAAGATTTCAGGTCTCTATCAAAAAACGACCTCGTTTATGTATCGAAAAAATCACAAATTCCCCGAGAAAACTCTTACGTAATGTTTTTGGTAGAACCTAGTCTTCTTCTGATGCGTCAAAATCTTGTCTACACAAAAACGATTTTTTTTTTTTTTCAGAAGGTACACATAATAAAAGGTTAAAAAAAATTAACGAAAATCGATCATATTGTCGTTAAATAAAAAGTTCTAACGATCCGTGCTGTTATAGCGGGTCGATGATATCTATAACTAATAACAATTATACTCAAACTCGAATATTATTCATGAACGGTACTTTTTAACGATAATTATTTTACCGTTCCGTACGATTACAAAACGTTGACGTATAAAAATAGTATCGCAATGTAATTAAACACTGTAAAATTTATTATAATAATAATTAATATTGTCGAAATGTCAGAGATGTAAACGAACGACACAGCTATAAAACATTACTTATTTAATATCATTTTGTATACGCTCCTATACGATTATAATATTTATTATTATTATTATTATTATTATTATTATTACTATTACAATTATTACATATAACAACCAATAATGAGTGTGCTTGATAACGAGCTTTTATGAATGATAAGACATTACGAGTACAAATAAAAATATCGGCTGGAATGCCTAAGTTGACCTATGTAAAAATTAATTACCTATATTATATAGACGCGCGAAATTGGTAAAAAATTCTGATCCAATATAGGTCAGTATAATTGATCGTAAACGATAATATTATAATCAAATGGAATATTGTCGTACGAAACGTGTTTTTAAAAGAGGTCACATAGCTAAACTTTTTTTTGAGGTCTCATGGTCTCATTTCGAGTGGCCACCCAATTTTTATAAAACCGTGATTAGTATGAATAGAACCTATAAAGGGATATGTCTTCCTAATGTCATTAGAACCATTCCTCGCCATGAATTTAAAACTGTATAAACATTATAAAATTAACAAAATAATTGTATTCATTATTGATTCCCATTGAAATAATTCTACAAATAAGTACTAATATAAAGTACAACTATAATTATAAAAAAAAAAAAACAACAGTCAAAAGCCAATTAAGTTTGAAAAAGAAAATACATGTATTCATGTATTATATTATGCGATATAATATATAATATTAATTTGATAAATATTTAAGTGTTAAAATATCGGTATTTGGAGTAAACTGAGATTAGAGGTCAATTCGACCAATGAATAATTAACTCCCCAAAACTCGCCGCGCTAATATACACGTTATAAAAATGTTTGTACGTGCCGAGGAAATCTCGATAGGAAGTAACCGATAACATTACAAACAATATCAGTTGTGTACGGTTGTCGATTTATTTAGAAAAGAAAAAAAAAAGGATGAAAAACCTGCAGCGGTGTCTAGACACCGCATAGTCGTCTAGACGCTGCAGACATCGTGGAGGAATCGAAGAATAGTACGGTTATGAATTTCAGCGCGGAACAAATTCTGACCGGTATCTGGTAATTTTCCAGTCTAGCAATTGGCGAACAAACCTATTTGTTCTTAACCGGTTTTGCTTTCTCGACAGTAAAAAAAAAAAAAAAAATTAACAATAATAATAAAAAAAATTGTCCGGATCGAATTTAGCAAACATTTTCAATCGACCTTTAAAAAAAAATAATATACAATGTTTGTTTTCAGTGGGAAATTCTACACACGCGTGCCGAGATATTGGGAATACCAATATAAAAAAAATCACCAACGCACCACACTCGGCCGATGTTGTGATGTTATAGGGTCATTTGGATGTTATAGAGATAATATGGCAGTATAGTTGTTTTATCAAGGACCAAGTCCGTGGTTGTTGTTATCGATGATCTCCCCAAACAAATTGAATTCAAATGATATTATATTAGACCACAATAATTATTATCGTAATCAACAAAAACATAACACTTATTACCCTATCCGCCTTATCTAAAAACATCTCCTTATACATTTTAGATTCTGAACAGAGCGAGGAATGTATTGGATTTTACAAAGATTTTTCTGTCATAGTTTTTCTACCCGAAATTTCGCTCCAATTTTCAAATGTAGCACTTTTTCTAAAAGGAAATCTGACTGAGGTGGTACTTTAAACAGGTATTTTTTTAATTTTCCCAGAGATTTTCATAATAAATGGGAAAAACCGGGAAAACGTACGAAATGTATTATTTTCAAATCGTAAATATTTTTAAAACATGTTCAACCAAACTCCGCTCAGAAGTGTTTTTCGTTAGCAATGATTCATCGTAGATATTCATTAAATTTCCCCCTCTACCTTTCCAACTTCTCACTTACAGCAGTGGCCCACCGTTGTATATCTATTTGTTTTTTTTTTTTTTAATAGTTTCAAATGTCTTCCCCTTTATTCGATTGTCGACTATATCGCGACGAACGTCATTCTGACAGGTACTGTAGTATATCCCCAGTCGTCAATAACAATACAAAAATATTTTAATATATTATAATTTTTAACATTGTTTTACACGATGGTCACCGTCGCCAGCAATATTATTGTTATGTTAAAATATTGCAGGAACGTCTACTCAGCAAAATATGTTACGCGGTCGCCGGCCGTTACAGGGGGCAGCGTACTATTGTCGCGGTTATTTTATAAAAATTATTAAAAAGACTGTTAAAATATTATTGTGAAAAACACTCTTCTCCGGGGCTTCGGGCGGAAGATCCGAATAACGATCCCAGTCAGTTCAAATAAAGAATTGTGTTATATTTTGAAAGACTCATTTGTGTTTAATTATTGTTTTATGCCTTCGATTATAAACGGGGTTTACTCGCGTTCTACGTAATACTTACACCGAGCGAATTTACACCTAAGCTGGGATAAGAGAATTGGTGTTGGAACCACCGCGGCGCACAAGGAGTGAGCGACATTCCCTTGGCCGTCCGGAGTTTTAGAGTAAAGTCGTTAATTCATCAATGACCTAAGCTCTCGGCCTAGTTTTGTGTTTTGTCGCCGTATACGTCCAAAAAAGAATCTTGCGTGTACGACAGATTACGGCTCTCAACGTTCCGGGGGCTCGAACCACGAACTCCGAGATCAAGAGTCACGTGTTTTACCGACTGAGTTTGCCCAGGTTATCGTTACCTACCCTACCGATACTACGTCGAACACAACGGTATAATGTGTTCCAGACATTATTTTATGTACAAGACACGTGTGTGTCTATAATAACGCGTAATATTATGTTTTTTTTTTTTTTTATTTCGGTAATATATTTTTTGCGCACGCGTTAATATAAATAATAATAATAATCGTGTGCGCGAGTGTAAGTACGTTCAAGGACAAGTTTTAGCGATGCGAGTAATTGATGAGATTGTGTGCGTGTATGATACCTAACCGCGGGAGAAGGGCGGGTTGAACGAACAGCGGCGCAAGAAACGGAAGGAAGTCACTCTAGGTCATTCACACCTGTCGAATATAATATTATTACGTATTTCGATATTATACTGTTTAGCCGCATACAATATTATATACGTATATTATACGTACTAGTGTACAACTATTTATAATAAACATAGGTATAGATAGTTTTTTTTTCCCCCGTATATATACCTATACTACACACGTGTTAGTATCTGTACGCCGCCGCGCGTCGTTCATTCAGAACTGGTGTTTTCGCGCAGGCGCTTTGCGAACGCGACAACGCATACCGACCGCGGGTCAACGGGGCGGCCGCATTCTCGTCCACATTCCAGGAGTGCCGTGCGCGGTGTGGCCGCCGCCGTCGTCGCCGCCGACGGCTGTCTACCGCCGCCGCGCCGCCGTCCCGAAGGCGACACGGTCACAGCGGTATTTCTCTCTTTCGCTCCCCGCCGCCGCCAACGCCGACAACGAGACGTCCCGAAGCGGTTCGCGCTTGTCCTGCCGCCCGTTCCTGGGACCCCCTCCCCACCATATATAAATATGCAGCACGATTGTTTTGTCGTGTGATTCGGCGATTTTCTCGGGGGCATTTTCGAGTAAATTCGCTTTCCGTTGTTTTCCAACCGTTTAAACGGAATTGGTTAAGGGGTATTTTTTTCTTCTTCTTCTTCTTAATATTGCCATTCGATTTTCAAACGGCAACCCCCGACACACGTCAACGCAGATTCGAAAACTGAACATCGGCGCGCGATGATATCGGAATTATTGTAACGGTTTAAAGTATATTTTACACCGCCGGAACAGTAGGGAAGATTGTTTATAGATTGATCGCAATATAATATAATGGTAATGGCCGACCCTGGAAACGAATTATTAGACGACGTACCCGCTGCGTTAGCGGCCAAAAGAACCGCCGTCGCACACCACGAGCCATTAGTCGCCGTCGACGACGACGACGCGAAATTTAACGCATATCCGGCCCAGACGTCTATATTATACTACAGTATAATGGATTTCACTTTAAAAAATTATCGAAAAACCCTCTCGTCTGGAGATTTGAGATAGGCTGTAGTGTTATATATAGGCGCCGGTCTATACACATGCGGCCGAACCCCCGAACGTAAAAATTATTATAATGTTCGTGAACACCGGAATACGGAGAACGGGCACGGGTTTTTTTCTACCGGTTGTTATGTCCGGGTTCTATGGTTGCAAAAAAAAAAAAATGATACGAAATTGACTGAGCTCGATTTCAAAATTTAAATTTCTATACTGTTATCGTACAAAAAATGCTAATACAAATAAACAGAGGGAAAGACCGAAAAAGATCAACCATCTTTTGTGATTTAAGAATGATAGATACGAAGACGACAAGTGTATGCTGCGAGGACTTTGAGGAGGATCGGGCCAAATGAAAGTTTAGGACGAGGGTAACCGATCGGTTCATAAAGAAATTCTTAAGAAGATACAGGTTAGTACACCACACTCGAATTTTTTGACGATTTTGATTTCTTTTTTTCTTTGGTTTAATGCCGGACGATAGAAATCGATGTGTTTTCACCATACGGGCAATATTTTCAGGATGGTTTTTATATAGAAAAGAAGAATGACGATGTCGATAAAATGTGACCAAGCGCTCGGATGTACTATATAATATACTAGAATTCAAATTTGGAAAAAAATGAAAAAATATAAAATGTTATTGACTTTACGCATGTAAAATTTTTGTACTCGTCACTGACGGGTGTATAGGTTTTCTAAATTCAAATGAATAATGTTTGTTTTATACTTTTATTTTTACTTTTAATGGGCACTAACGACGTATTTTCAGACGCAAACGGCTATATGAGAATTAAATGTACAATTATAATTTATAATTAATGGTTATTGGCGTATTGTTAACTACACAGCAATGAGTAATACGGTCAATAGTATATTAATGATATGGTTTAAAAAAAATGTCGTTTTCTGTAAAGTAAAATATCTTAAATGGATTAAAATTAATATTATCAATGAAAATATAATATTATATAAGTTAATTATTTATATAATACCGTGTTGGTATACAGATAAGAACTGTTAATTCAAAAGACACATTTTCATGTTACGTATGAAACAAATGACTCATAAGTGAGGGACAAAAAAAAAAATGTACATCCATTAGGCTATTGCTGTATCGCCACATGTTATTAACGATTCATTACCCGCCGGGAGGGAGAGCTGCGAGCAAGACCCGATAGAAAATTAATTTTCTGTGAAATCGTATTTTATACCCTCGTAGACACTGTACTTACATAACGATGACAACACCGCTATAATTATATACGACATCGAGAATAACAATAAGGTATCTAATAGGTTTGAATTTTTTTTATGATTATTATTTATTTTAATGAAAACGTATAATATAGGAAATATATTATATTGTACGCGTCGAATTATCCATACAATTTTTAAAAACGAATTGAAACAACAATCACGCATACCAAAATATAATTTTTACGATTAAAACTATATATACGAGTATTTAAGAATTTATTAACTTCCCCGCCATTACATTCATTCGCATTTCTATGATTTTCGTCCATTATGCCCGCAGAATGTTTCTACTTGAAAGATCGATTTCCTGAAGAACAATACGTCGAATAATATATGTTTGGATTCTTCGTTTTAATTTTGGAGAGAGCTTACGCGTATTTTAGGTATTGGCGAGTTTATTTATACAATTTCTCGCGTCGTATAAACACTATTTTATTGTCGGTGGGTATCGGCGGTATCGAGTTTGAACAATAATTTTGAAAAATGTATTTCCCGAAATAAATGATCGAATATGTTTGCCAGCTGTATAAACGTTACAGATGTATTAGACATGAAAATGTTGGTTCGTGCGGTTTTTCCGAATAGCAAAAAATGGCCGAATACGATCGTTATCAGTGCAACAAGTCTCGGACCCTGTATATACATAAACAGCCTTTTACACATAAAATATTAAAAATATTACTAACGCAACGCTCGGGCGGACGAACGTGAAAAATGCATCGGATGTAAAATAACGACCATAACCTAAGCCCTAACCTGACCTAACCTAACCCCGTGGGCAGCAGTAAATTCAATAGACACATAGGAATCACATAATATTATGTTACGTACCAAATAATACCTATGCGAAACAATAATATTACGTTTTTATTAAATTACCGACGATCATAGTAGTAATGAACAACAAAAACCGATATAAATATGTATATATAGGTAACAATAAAATGCTTATACAAATTTGTTTTTTTAACATTTTTGTGTAATTCCGGCGGATTAAAAACAACAAATTTATATACGAATACTAGCTAATATTTAATTACATTATCATCGTCTACCGGACAAAAATCGTTTTTATTACTTCCCCTCTTTTATTTAAACTCGATAATTTCGTGGTTATTTTTGTTTTTCAAACACAATACACCGCTCGATTATGAAATATAACAATAATAATCCTCGTACACGAATATTATCGTAATCGAAATAATAAAAAAAAAAAAAAATGACAGTAGGTAGAGTCGTATTTTTGTTGTGATGTTATTTCCCGTCAATTCAAAACATTGTCTAGCTTTACACCGTGTATACAATATATATGATAATATTTTTTATAATCTCGATCGTAAAATAAGGTCAACGGATATTGTATATTATATTATGGTATTTTGTTTATGGTAAATCAAAAAAAAAAAACATCAACACAAAAACACGATTATTATTACGGTGTGTGTGTGTATGTGTGTGAAATTTCCGCGGGTTTTGAAAGAGACTACAAAATCGACGGAGCGACCGCGACAAAGTTGCGTCACTATTTTTTTTTTTATACTTTTCGGCGACGGCGGGCTATACGGTTTTTAGACATGGTACGGAGAGCTTCTCATCTGTGACCCGTTTTTACACGCCATTGAGTACGCCGCCACCGAGTTTTCGTTTTCCTTAAAACACATTATAATAAATATACACTACTATAGGCAAGTATAGGAGGTACCTATATAATATATTTTATATGTTGACGTAAGATACGCGGGAGAACGCGCGTTTTCGGGCGTGTGAATTAAAAAAATTAAATTTTTTGTTCATCCTACAGGCACATAAAAAGTATACATAAAATATAATAGTCGCAGCAGCGATTGTCCGTTGTTGTAAACAAGTTCGCAAACAGGAACAAGACGTGATTGGGATGTGATTTTTATCCGCGATGTGAATTTTTAATGTGTTAAAAAACCAAAATGCTCGACATGCACAGAAATTCCATCACAATACTAGTAAAATATACATTTAAAATGAAAGTCTCAACACCAAATTCGTTATCGTTAAGCCCGGTCCACGCAGTGATATCAGTCATAGTACTATGATAGTCTCGCTGCTTTAATCAATTATCGCACGAGACAGCAACGTGAGTTCAGTGAACGTGCGAATTTCGATAGGAGAATTGGCAAACTAAAATAGAAAAATCTGTGAAAGTGCCGTCACGACAGTATGGTCATCGCTGTGATAATAACGATAATATTATTGTTATAACGCTCTTAAGACGGTGTGTCAAAACTATCATAATAGTGACGATAGCGGTTAGCTTTCGCTATATAGTTTACTCTAAGTATACCTAGATAAGTAATTATTATTGATTTACTATTTATATAAGTACTTTTCTAATCTCCTTAATATTTTAGTTGTTTAAATATAGGTTTCGTTTTAAACAAGACAGTGTATACTTTCAGGTTTTTTTGATAAATTACCATTATTAATGGCAGTGGATAGACATACCGACACATCAAATTCTTTATGTCTCTGAATAAAAAGTAAAGAAATTTGAATTTAGAAATACGTTGTCCTGTAAATAATAAATTCAAGGGGCAACAGAAATATCTCCCTAATCTCCCCATCTCCGTAAATACGACACTGATGATTCGAAAATTGTACTATAAGTACTATATGTATACATAAAAAAAAAAAACAAAACAAAAAAAGTATTTCTCACAAATTCGCGAAGTCCTAATTATTGTTATTATCTGGTAAAAAATCGTATACTGTTATAATATCGTATTATATGGCCGTCCCTCCATCGGGAAATAGAATTTAAGACGTTTTTAATTGCGATACCTACAATGTTGATGACGATGCGGTCGTTGTATACAAGTGGGTGTACTTTGAGTGTACACTGTACTTAGTGTACTTAGACCCGCGGAGAAATATCAGTAAGTAATTAGAGCGATCGCCAACGGACGGCCGATGAATAAAATTACCTCCACTCCATTATATTGTATTTATATACATATGTATATATATATATACATATGTATATATATATATATATATATATATATAGACAACGGGTATTATATTGTTATTTGTAAAAGTCTTTTTGAATATTATAAACTGTTGCGGGTCGACCCATTACGCTATCGATCTCGATTGTATCAAGTAAGTACCACGTATTATGATGAATAGTATATAGTAACGGAATCTTAATAGTGTTATTGTTAGGTACAAAATACTAAAATACAACACCGTAGGTATACGCAACACCGAAGTTTTTTTAAGACTGACACTGCTGTCGGGTGTACCGCTGTCTTACGATGGAAATTGTAAATGAGGATATGTGGAGTAATTTGATTAATATCCGTATTTTTTCCCATATTGCCTGAAAGGTGACCCAAAAACCAACAAAAATCGTTACTTTTCCCCCACAACATTTTTGATCAGAGCAAGGAGCAAGATTTCTAGCAGAAAAGTTGTTTATATTATACACGCACAGCAATGCAGGTTGTGAATTTCGATAAAATATGATTTTTTTTTTTTAAAACACGTTTTAATATTATTCACCTACTTTTTATGATACTGATCACGGAAAATTAAATATAATATAATCTCCGTTAGAAAATCAAGATAACACAGGTAATATTTAAGATTAAACTAATAACGTATTGTTTAAAAAAAAAAAATTATAATAATAAAAAATAAATAAGAAACTGAATTTTAAAATAATGTTGTTTAATAAACTCGTAAACTTATATTTTATCTTGTAATATGTAGATTCCCGACAATTTTCCAATACTATATATTATAATATATTTGTAAAACTATGCAATCAAGGTACACCGATTTCGGGCAGGATTTCTATAACACATCGCACCGTGTTGTAGAGGCGTACGCAGGGGAAGGTTCGTTAATAGGTTATATACTTATTCTCTCATCGTAGTCTTGAAAAAAAAAAAAGAAGAAAAAAAAATAAACTATTTACTATACCTAAATCACAATGCTCAGACAAGCCACCAATCGTGTGAAGTGAAAACAATTTTCAAATTAAATTAAATTAAACGGCGGGTTCGCTACCGTGTCACGTTCAAACTTCGGACCATTTTCTTTTTTTTTTTGAGGGGGGGGGATTCTCGCGGATCGGCGCCATAGATTCGCGATGACCCGAACCAAGGTCGCGAAACCGTCGTATACACACATCGCCCGGAAACACGATCGCCCACTCTCGTTTATTATTAACATTATTATCTGCGGGTACTTATAATATACGAGCGTAATATAATAATAATAATAATATAACCCGAGACACATTCACCCTTCACGACTACGATATATTAGAGGAGAGATCCTTTCACATTTTTATACGCGCACACGCGCAGACGCGACGCATGCCCCGTCCGTCTCACTCTAGTACTCTGTACCGCAGTCTTTCACCGCGGCGGCATCGGAAAGATACCTATAAGCATACGTAGCGTACCTTTCACTTCGGTCGCCTTTCACCGCGCGCCGCGCTCGTCTCGGGAATTGGCAAGCTTTTTCATACGTTCGTATACCTACGACCATTATAATACCTGTACACTGCACCGTTATAAAGCCACCCTTTCTCATCACATGATGCCGTTTATAATAATGCGCGCCAGACGCGGTCACGATTGCCCAATATATAAACACACGGTCGCGACGTCTCGTGGGAATACGGATTTTTAGATATTATTATTACGGGGTACCGTTGTTATTTATCGTTCTTGTATCGCGGCGCCATTTATACCCTCTGTTCCCCCCGACCATCACCCACGGCTGTAGTGCAAATAAAACGACAATGGGACGTTAAACAATTAACAATTACACCTCCCCTCCTAACGGAAACGACGGCGTACGCTAATTCAGATAAGGTCGGGCTGGACGGACGGTTTTCTTTTCGATAAACAATAATATTCGCCCTGTCGTATTCTCGGTTTGATTTTTTTTCCACCCTCTCACAACGTTATTTTAAAGCGCGAAAATTCCCCGCGGTTAACTCGTACGCGGGTATGTCACATTACATTATAAAAATATACTTGAAGTAAAATATTATCTACATTATACGAATATTCCGGAAATATTTTATGCTATTACATATTCATATTCCAATATACGAACAATTATTGAATATCACGTACATCATCGCCGAAATTGCGGATATAAAATTCAGTGGCGTACCTAGATACGCCAATGAACGCCTGGTAGGCCTTTTTTACGGGGGTGGAGGCAAAATATATTTTCACTCACTCTTAAAATAGACAATTCCTAAAAAATAACGTCACAACAACAAAAATTTTATTAATTGGCTCTTTTATATAACATTTTAATATATAAAATAAAACATTTTTATTTAATTAAATATAATATTATAATGCATGCTACCTGTGTATTTATAAATTTGAATACAAAGTTTAATCTCCGGTTTTTAATAGAAAAGAATCTATCAATGGCATTACCCACTGGTATACTTATTTCCTGATAAACATGCAAAAGTGCAAGTCCGCATAAGCGATCGTAGCTAGCCCGTTTACTTTGTAAATAGAAATCAATGATAAGAGACAATGGCCCAACCGCCAAAACAAAATGATAACACCATAAATCTTTACCCGATTCAACCTTAGATAACAAAAATATGTTAATATATATGGGTTTTACCATTTGATCATATTATTGACTAATTCATGGAAAAAAAATATTCAAAATAATTGTAAAAACACTAAAAACAAATAATTATGCACACATATAAATATACGGCACAAGGGGGTAGCGAATGCCCCCATCGCCACTCCCACAGATAGGTACGCCACTGAAAATACTATAATTGTAATACATTATACTATGACGGCACTCTGCCAGTCTCTACCACTTTTTCCGACAAATGTTTTAGGTTTGACACACTTATATGATTATTATGATTATTATTGCACACTACTTTTACTGTTTTAAAATCCACATTTCGAGCATTTAGTTTGACAAAAATTTGAAAATTACCTATACCTTAAGTTATTCGCAGTTAACAATTTACAAAACAACGAAAAAAATTTAAATCAACACTATATTATATACGGTTTATTTCAATACGATAAAATATTATCTAAGTAGTTCCGCAGACACGTTTTTTAAATGTATAACGATTAGATTATAGTTTTTAATTAATTTAACGGATAATAATAAATAATAACATAATATTGTAAGTGATAAACAATTTGTTTTTTTTTTTTTTACTTCGTAACTCGCATATTTCAGCGCACGAGTCAATTATATGATATTATATTATCTCACTTTAAATAATATAAGCATATTAATTATAATAAATTAAACCGTGGAAAATTCCGCATGATCTTTAAACGAAAAATTATTAATTCGGTAGGTACCTATCCGAACAAATTAATTAACAATAATTACCCGTACAATTAATTCCCCCGTCGAAATACATCGTACAATATGATTATTACAATAACAAACTATATAGGCAACGTAATATAGTATATATCTGCAGTCAGACTAAGTCAACAGGTGCGCGCGATTGTTTGAAAAAAAAAAAATTAGAGCAAGTGTTTTTATGAGCTAAAAAAACGTGCAAACGCGATCGTAAAATAGTATAAATAAAAAAAAAAAAATTTAAAAACCGTATGTGGTGCACGTGGCTTATCGAACTGCGGTTGTACTTAAAACAAATTTCCACTTAACCGTCTCTCTCTCTCTCTCTGCTCCCCCCCCTACCCGTTCTCTTTTAAAATCTAAACGGCTAATGAGGTAATGTTCTGTTATTGCGAAATAAGTGCGTTTAATAATGTTATATATGATGAACTTTGGAACGTAAAATATATTATATAGATTAAACATTAGAATCAATTTTCGCTACTTTTTTTTTTATTTTTTTTTTTTATACACTAGGTAGCGCATATAGCCATATTGGTACGTTTTTATATTATAATATGGCCTACAGTTAATATTATGTATTTCGTTTGTGTTTATACGAGTTATATCTCGGAACAACGTGCGGACGGGCCCAAAGGTTAAAAAATATAAATATCGACCGGTATTTTAAAGTGTTTTATTATTATAAGTGTTTTTTTTTTTTTTTTTTAAATAAATTACCGTTATATCATTATAAAAATAAAATACTATATCACAATAATGCATACGCATTTATTCAGTTGCGACGATATTTTCGTGAAAATTTGTTAGAGCGGTAACTCGAAAAGATGCGGAATTTCCGCGCGACGACGGTACTTTACTTGAAACGGTTTTTTGCTTTTCTTTTTGTAATTCTCAACAATTCACCTCTATTCCCCCCTCCCTTCCCTCTTGTTTATATCGTTTTTGTTTTCGGTAAGTAAACACTACGCGGCTTTTAAAACGCTGTAGCAGAAACAGTTTTTTCATTAAAAACAAAATAATAATAATTACCCCAGACAACAATAACGACGATACTCTTAAGATTTATTCGTTATAAGTTTGACGAAAGCAACGACAATACCACACGAATTATAATTATCCGTACCGACTGCAATGTTATATTATAATGCTCGAGTTTATATTGTGATACAAAATTATACGTATATACGACGATGAGTTATTTTGAACGAATTAAAAACAAAAAAAAAAAACAAAATCAGTTTACAATAATTAAACGAGGACTAATTATTTTTGATAATTAGCGAAAACGCATAGAATACAGTATAATATAATAACGATATAATTACGGAACACTGCGGGAAATTATTATTATTTTTATTATTATTATTATTATTATTATTATTATTATTATTATTATTATTATTATTATTATTATTATAGTACACACGCACGCGAGATGAAAACGTTACGAACAATTATTTGAACAAAACACGCCGCGGCCAAGACGCGCGTCCGCAGAGTTAACGAGACGGTGTATAATAATTAGTATTATTCTAGTCGCACGATCGTTTGTGTAAATACTTGATAAAAAAATTATTGTTATTCTTTTTTGGGACCACGGGTTCTGCTTTAGACCGCGGTCTTCTCGGTCTTAGACGTACGCCGCGGAAAATTAGTAGAAAAAAAAAACCCCAGAAACCCCAACCCAGTCGCCGCCTATAGAATCTTTCGTGTACGCGTAATCGTAGAGCGGTGTTGGATTTAGACTCCGCGAGAAAATCGGTTTCTGGGGCTGAAAATAGAAAGAAAAAAAAAACACCGGAGAAAACGAAAATCGTTTAGAATAATATTATTCAAACGAAATAATTTCGATCTGAATCTATACATAATTGTATAAAACGTTTTTTTGTGTTTGGTTTTTTTTTTCAGTGTATCTTTTCGAAATAAATATTAAGCTACGAATAACACACACCCCATATAATAGCTCGGAAAGTGTTGACGTTTTTTTTCGAGACGATTAAATAAACAAATGACTCTAAAATCATTATTGTAAACGTATTTATTTCTTTTTTTTTTTTTTTTTATCGCCTCTAAATTCTAGAGAGGGCTCAACATCTACTTTCGATTGTCAAACCTATATTCATAATTCATGCGCTCATGGCCAAACTTAAAAGTGGAATATCTCGTCAACGGGTTGACGACGGGTTAAACTTTTCATCAACGTCATCATATATATCCGGAGTTAACGAAATACTATTAACCGAAATCCGCTCAGAATCGTTTTGCTTAAACTTGCTTAGATACAGATATACAAAAGATTTTCCTCAATATTCTACCTTCCCAACTTCTCTATAACAGTGGTGATACATCGTGCGAAGTATATCCATCTGTTTTCCTTACAAAACATTAATATTAAATTTAATGATTTCGCCTTCCCCATCCCCATAGTCGAGGTCTGGAGACGTCTCTGAGTTAACGTAGCCGCTATTGTACTCGATAATGCTGTTATTAAGTCTAAATAGTTCTGAAAAAAAAACCACGTGTATTTCGTTATGCGCGCAATCAAGTCGTTTTTCGGCCGTTTGAAAAATGCTCAAAAGAAATGTCCGATCGGCTGCACAGATTTCCGACCGCGTGTCGGTAAGCCCAATATATTTATAATGTTTTATTGTGCGTACCATCCGTTTCTCGATTCGATAACAATACGAACGGCATGGCGTTGTATGTAATATATATAATATTATAATATAATAATAATATTGTCTAGTCTCTAGCGCGATAAGGATATAATAAGTATATAATTATAAATAAATAATAATATATGTATATTATACGCCGCAGCAGCAGTCCATTAATATGTCAGCGTCGATTTTTTTTTTTTTTTTTATAACCGTCATTCATATATTCTATAATACGAGCGTAGTGCGGCCCGATAGAGAATAAAATAATATTATACACACGTAGTTTCAGAAGTGCGATATCCGTACGATATAATAATATTATAACACGGACGTTCGAAAATTATCTCGTATGTGAAACGAAAATGTCAAATATTGTTACTTAATCGTTTCTATTCGTATATAACGTGTAATTCTATTTTTTTTTTTTTTTTTTTAATTTTTTTTTTTCGCTCCCAAAGTCAATATTTGTTGGCTGGCGTACATGATACGTTGAATGATATGTGTACGTAACGAAAAATTACTCGCATACACGCAGGCGCACTGTAAATTTTATACACGCATACACAGCGAACGGTTAGGGGGAAAAAAAATCATTTACGTCAGTAAAACCTACGACGCGATATGCGTATTTTAAAAACAGTGTCGTGCACGTTGTCGACACGTATTATTTGTTTATAATAAATTTGGCAAAAAAAAAATGTATATAAATATTAACTATCTAAAAAAAAAAAAAGTCAGAAATTTAGGCACCTATAATATTATAGGCAGTAATTATACATCGGCGGTTTCCCCGACCCATTCGTCCTCCCGTTACCGCGCACTGATAATTGCAGTCGTCGACGATTCGAAACTGATTTACGATAATGAAATAATACGACAATAATTATATAATACATATGACATATTAACATTGCAGCGTTTGTAAATAACTAACCCCCTTTTTATGCATTATTTCAACGTTATTAAGTGTTATATGTGCCACCGGGAAACCCTTTAGAACCCCCTTCAGCCCCCAAACAAAACCCAATCGGCTTTTTTATAGTAGCGACTAAATATTTAATACACGTGTTTCATAATTGATGAGCAGAACCAAATACAGATTTCCCATAGACAAAACATCTGTGTATGAAAAATAATGTTAAAATTAGTTATACGATAAATTATTCTTATATACAAAATTATTAAGGAAAAGTGTAGTTGCCTATTGTCGTAAGAATCGCGTTAAGGAAATTGTGGCGGCGTAGCACACGTGGGTATTTACGTGCCCATAATATTAGCACCTCCAACGTCGGTGGTCTTATGTTAATTACGGAGAAATGTAATTTTTAATATTTGTTTAAAATCATTTTTTAACGCAAATGGAAAAGTACCGAAGTCCGTATTTATATTACTCACACCGCATAAAGTAATTGCAGATAGTAATATAATATTAGATTATAAACAATTATTATAGCTAAACTTTTTTGTGAATTTCCGGTTTTCAATTATGTTGTGATAGTGCGATACCGAATTTAACGGTGTTAAAATGCCCCCCCCCCTTATTGAACAAATCGAAACGCATCGATTATAAGTTAAAGACCTTCATCTATAAAGTATTTGTAAGTTGGTTATCGAAATTTGTACCCAAGTCAAGTCCCTCTCCTCTGGCGAATTTTCAAAAATTTGAGCTAAGTGCGTATCCCAGTACTACCCGAATATAAATCTAGAAAGAAAAGAATATGATCTATTGTTATTTTATTACTTCCGTGTTTAAGTATAAGTTACGCTTTACGCGTGACGTCATAAAATCACACCATCCGACGGGCCGTATCTAAAATACACGTGTAATATTTATTTCGCGCCATTAAAATAACTATAGAGTACAATTGATTTAAGGTATAAGTTATTAAAGTACATTTATAAAAAGGTTATGTATGTCTTCAGATAATTGTACTTTCCATAGTATGCAAAATTTGCTTCAAGGTGTAGTTTATAGATACGATTAAAAATATAAATACACAAAATAGTAAAGATAAAATAACACTAAACTCCGTTGTTTAAAATTTAAACCAATGTGATATTATAATTGATTCTAATTTAGAAATTCAAATAACTCAAAAGCAAAAAAAAACCTCACAAAAACATATACCGAGTGATCCATTTAAGTGAATACACTCATTATCACTGAAAGTATTAATTTTATTCGGAATTTATTTTCTAGAACATTTAAGAAACAAGCAACTCTACAATTGTATATTTATATTACTTTTTGTCGCCCTTTTTTTTAGGGATAAAACAAATACTTACTTTTGATTTTCAAATGGTAACCTATAATAAAACGTCTATAAATAGATTGATTATTAGTTAGAGAATTAGCAGTGGTGCATTGTTAACAGGCCGCGCGTCATATGGCCACACAAATGATACTCCACTACTCTCTTCCTACCCAAACTTAAAAGTGGAATATCTCGTCAACGGCTTGACAGAAATCAAAATGTCAACACTGAAATTTATTTTAATTAGTAAGCAGTGTTTTTACTGAACTACGTTGATTGTAACAGTACAACGATTTTTTTTTTCCTATTTTAAATTTTATAATTAAATTGAGTATATTGAACGTTACTGCAGTGTCTTTAATTCCGTACAATAACTACGATTACTCGGAGAACGCAGAGACAGTAAGACTTTAATGATTATAAAATATAAATTACATCAATATAATATAATACAACATAAATAAAAATACTTTTTTTTAAGTGTAAAAATATATACGAAATACGTATTATTTTTCGGAACCCTCTCCGCCTCCAAGAAAATGCCTAAAATCCGCCACTGCACTGGGACCACAATATTCTCGCGATCCCTGAACTGACAACGATAACAATGCGAGCAGCTTTTGTTTACATTTTTGTATACGATTACTATGTACATATTATAATGGGGCCGAACAATAGCGACGCTTTCGCTTTTCCGCGATAGTCACAACGAAGTATTTTGAGAATCCATCGCGGCGTGAATCGCTTACACTGCTTTGCTGCCGAACCGTGACTGTCTCTAAATTCACAGAGCCAATCGAAATTTCGGATCGTTTTCAACTGTCGCGACAGCAACTATCGCCGCAAGAACTATAGCACCGCGCAGACCGGATTTCAATGATAGTTTTCGAATTATGTATACACAACAACACTGTAAATACTGCAGGTATTTCGTAAACGATTATAAGTGAAACGATTAGAAATATATTAGCGGACCATTTGTGTTTCTCGTCCAAACCTCGAAAGCCTATAGATATCGTTTAGTTTATTGTCAATTAAGAGGGCGTACTTTTTTTTTTTCGGAGAGGTGGGGCGAAAGGATAACTGATATTTCTGAACCTCTTCTAAGTACGTATCACTCGTATCACTCGGTAGACCGGGCAAAATATGATTCACGTTGTCTAGAATAAAATGTGTTTTTTTTTTCGTGTAACATTTAATATTATTAAGTATTTCCCATTTATTTATCTAACACTAGATAACCGCCATCGTTATTCGGTGACTAAAACCAATAAATTTCCGAGAAAATCGGCGTGAAAGGTAAATATTATACAAAGAGGCCGTATAGCGGCGCCGTATAAATAGCATTATTTTTGGATGCACACACACTCATTAGCTGCGACGAAAAAATATTGGAGTGTCTAAAATCACGCAAGCCGAGATAACACAATGCGCGGGTATCGATTCTTTATATTGTTGAAAATTCCACGGAACGAAATGGCAAAAAAACCGAATACTAAATGTCGAATCGTTCGATCGGCCTTATCGCACCCGGCGTTAGACAACGTGTTATTGTTGGGTAAGTATAAGGTTCGTCCTAATAATCGATTTGCCGCGCGACGGTTACTCACTAAACAACCGCTGGATGCATTTTAACCAAAATTAAGGGAGTTCTGTGTAGTCTGCGTAAGCATGTTTTTAACTATATCGTGCGTTCGTAAATCGGAAACAATAAATGCACGTGTACCGTAAACGCGGCGATGAAAAAGTTCTTATCAGGTGTAATGTTTTTACTCTGCGTCCGATAGCGCTCCCGGTGGAACGTATTAGACCAACTACTATTATACCATCATAGCAGCCGTTACAAGTAAATTTTCGTTACGGATTCGATATCAAAATCCTCCAACAATAACAGTTCTATAAATCACGCCACATCCGCGAATCGACATAGGTATTTTAAAACATTATTCAGAATAATAATATTATAGCGCGCTATAAAAATTGCATTCTATAGAAATACGTTTTCTTTGTATTTCCTTCGAGTGCGTTTGAAGTATTAACAAGTATATTTATTTTTCTATTTTCTTTTAAACGTTGCATTGGTATACAGGCAACAAAGATAACAATTACGCGTATTGTACTTCAATCGAATCCCGAATCCCGACGTCCACTACGAGCACATGGTTATAGATTTTATCGTTGTTATAACAATAACAACCGTATTGTAGGGGTTCCCAAACATTAATGTAGATAGGACGTAGGTTTTAGCGGAAACGATAAACCGGACCTTCTTCGTATTAGACGCTCGTAATGGGAAAAAAAAAAAACATCTCGTTCTCAGTTCCGAGGCACTGCGGTCCCTGTTGCGATATTATTACAGGACGGGTAAAATACACATAATCAATTGGGTACGCGAGACAATAACGGAACGGAATTTAATCGGACGAAAAGGGCAGGTCAGAATGTTTCACCGATATCCCCGAATCCGGCCCCCACGCCGCCGCCCGAAGACTGCCGGTTTTTTTTTTTTTTTTTTCCCCGTCAAATCATCGGCGTCGACAAAACCGGTTTCGCCGAATGGCCGGCGGACGTTGGCGAATTCGTCTACGCCGCGCGCGGCGGCGAACGGAACGAGTACTACACACGGCGGGCGCGGCGACGAGAAGGGCATTTTTCCGTAGTGAATTTTTCCTCTCGCGATTTTAAATTCGCGTACGCACTCGGACACCGGTCGAGCAGCGCTGGATATCGATCGTGTGCCGCGGCGGCCGTCGACCGGTTTCCATTCCCATGGACACCCGAATTTATCATCCGTTCCGAGAATAATACCGGTTATATTGGTGGTCTCGCGCGCCGCCGACCACCGGTACATTTTGTACCGTTTTAAAAGTTTTCTCGAAATTGTCTACACCGAGGCCGAACGAAATCTCCGTGAAGAACATTAAAATAATTCGGCGTACACGCGCAACACGCGGTGCCTCGGTCACCGTTCTGTGCGTACGCCCGTGCGACAATAATAATATGGACGCGCGTCGACAACAATATAATGGTACATCATGTATTATGGTGCGTCGGGCACTTGTCCGCCCGCGGTCGACGCCGCCGTCCGCGCGGCGACAAGCATATTTTAATTATCACTACGCCGCGCGGCGCGCGGTTGACAACAATAATTGATTTTCTACGAACGTACGAATGTATGACGACACCGCCGTCGCCGCCGGATTACGGTGACTGCGGCGCCGCGAAACCGTTACGTTGTTATCGTGGGCCGGCCGGTCTCGCCTCCGTCATCTGTGGGACGCGCGCGATCCCTGCATGACGTCAACGACTGCAGCGGAACGGCGACGACACCGTGGGTCGCGGCGGGGGAGGGGGCACTTTGCGTTTTATTTCTGTACACAAACACACACACACACGCGCGCGCGCTTTTGTGGATTAAACCGCGCGAGTGTAGGCGGAGGTTTAGGCGACGGGGTGGCGTGTACAACGTACGATACACCCTCCCGTGCGCGTAACGTTCTTGTAATAAATATTCTATACAGGATCCGGCGTAATTTTACGACAGTGACGCAGACACGGCACCAGAATTTTTTGCCTGGACGGACAGGAAAGGGCAAGTACATTATTTGAAGGGACGAGCACAACAATGTTACTTTTCAATAAAAAAAAAACAATTAAATGAATTGCATACCAGTGAACACTGTATTAATAACACGTGACATATTGAATACATCGGTGCCCAAATTTTCAAAAATTAAAATTTAACAACAATATTATCTACTCGCTCTGATGATGCGGCAAGCGGCGACGAAAAGATTAAAAAATTGCCTATATTTTTCCCCTTATTGGATAGCTGTGAGGCGATCCCCTTAATAATTCGACTAATACAAATTCCTACATGCGCAAATATTATTAGTGCACGGCTTTAAGGGGGTAAATGGTGAAAATTTATCCTGGGTGAGCGACAGTCCGCCTTTAGCGCCGTCCCTGCAGTAACGTATTTTCGGGGGTTAGGGAGATGGCGGATAGATCCCCACTTATTTGTCCATTTTTTTTTTTTTTTTTTTTTTTTATTACAAACATTTTAAAACAGATGCACTTTCACTCGAACTGAAGCGCGCCGAAACATACTGTATATTAAACTTTTAGACTTTTATTCGCCCCCAATAGACCAGTACGCTCTAGGTTCACAACTCGCGAGACGCTATACACCAAACACTTTTGATTTCGCGATCAATAATTCTATCAGAGTTCGAAAAACGTGTCATTATGACGATCTTCTACTGCGGAGCGACCGTTCTGGACTTTAAATACAATAAAAATACATAACCCGAGTTAATGTTATTTGCTTCTAACATGCTATTATTTTGTAAAACGAAAATATTATTTATTCGAACACTGCTAATTCGAGAATTTGCGTATTTCACGGCTATAGACTTATATCATAATATTACAAAATATTAAAGTATTATAAAACATAATACGCGCGGATTAACTTTGCTACCGTATGGACGCAGAAAAGTCGAGATAACGAATTAACAACGGGCGAATAGTCATCGACGATGACAGTTTCGACGTTCAATGTGTTTTGCGGTTAAAGCGGATGGGGGGCCCGAAAAGTTTACGCATTTAAAAAAAAAACTATATTAATTACTATTTTCCACGGATGCCCCGTCTGTGCCGTCTTCGTCACGTGATAATATCTCGCAAAATTACACCCTGTATAATACAATAAAAATAATAGTATCGCATCAGCGCATTTGTGCGTAAACGCCCACGCTAGTGCGTGTGCGTGCGTGGGTGCGCGCGTGCGAGACACCGCCCGTGCTATTCGACAACGTCCTCAGAGACGTTATTCGGATAATTTTCCGGCAGAATTTTCCGCAGGACGGGCGTGAAACGCCCACGCAATTATATTTATCATTGTACCCAGCCAACGTTCTACCGAAAACGGTACACCACACGTGTTTCAGTTGCGGGGACGGGGCGCCACGGCGGTAGAAAACCCAACGGTATTTCGGGGGTGGTTTAGCCCCCCCACCCCTTCCCCGATAATAATATTCTATCGACGTTAGTCCGACAACAGTTTGTATCGTATTGGTTGTACTAAACTCTCTCTCTCTATATATATATAATATGATATAGGCACCGATATATGATAATATATAATCGCTGGCATATGTTCGAACGGGGTTTTTATTTGTCGTTGTTTTCTACAATTCCACAACAAACACACTTCAAAATCGATTATTACACATTCCACGAACACACGCGTACCGGTAGATTCGGGCGCCCATGCCACTCGAGATCTTTTTAAACCGATACGAGTATAATACACATTAATAGTTTTAAACAAGAATGTTAAGTATACATAAAATAATACAACGTATATCGTTCGCCGGCGCACGTGGTTCGAACGTCATAAACACGATAGGATTTCACCGAGTGCGGCGCCGCTTCTCCGGGGATTTTTCATTCGTTCGCGTTTTCTATTTACACACAGCTGCAGTGTCACGGGTGTTCGCGTCTCTCGTGCGAACGTGTTAAAACGAACCGTCGCGGCGGCGTGAAAATAGGAAAACCCACGATTTGACCACCCGAATATCATTTCGAGTGTTGACGGTTTATTCCCCGGACCCGAAAGCCCGCGCGGATCGACCGATTTATAACACCCGAAAGTCATCCCGGGGCGAAATTGGCGCTTCGAGTCGTCCTTCCGCCGCATTAACGTGGCCGCTGCACCGTAGACTTCAGAAAAGTCAAGGGGGGTTTTTGCGCGAACCGCAGACGCGTGTACACTTCAATCCGAGCCCCCGGTGTGCGATTATTTATACCGTGCGTAAATACGCAACCTGCAGACGTAGTTTTCCATAGACTAGGTTTTAGATTAACACCAATGAAGAAACTTCTTATCGTGATTTGTGTATTTTTTGGACCCCGAATAACCATGTATCGACTATATACAGTCGTATATATAGAGTAATAACGACGAGTTTTAGGATCACGCTTAGGACACTATATTATGAATTCAATTCGAGGCAACAGTGAGTAAGGTTATATTTCGTACAATTCCTACAACTCCAATAACCGCGACCGGGTAACACGTTTCGGTTTGGGGTCTGTAAAAAAAAAAAAAGCCCGCCGTATACCATCAGGTATATAATACATAGTCTCGTGTTTGATAATCGAATTAATATGTCGGCCGGTTGACATCATCGCCAAACGTCCCGGGCATATGGGCGACGTAACTGGCATTCCATTTCGGTCGCGGAGCTGAGAATAATAATAATAAAACGATTCGATATATATATAATTTTATTATTATTATTGTGATGCCGGTGTGCGATTTGACGAGGTGCCCATCCTTTTTGAATAGCCGGGTGAACGTGTTTAGATTTTATATGTAATATCATTCACAATAATATAGATGGATTTTTTTTTCCACCGCGGTACGAATTCGCGCACCTATATAACACGCATGTTGTATATACGAATAACAAGGCGTCCACTGACACTGTGTGAAAATTCATACCTGTATAATGAAAATATTATATAAAGCGTGCCACCGAATATTAAAAAAAAAACATAATAACAAAAAAACTACATAAATATACCAAAATCGTCGTCAGACTGCGTTGAACTTGCTTGATTTTAGTTTCAGAGTCAAATCGCCCGTTACAAAATGAAAAGAAAACAATGTTTCGGAGGGCAATGCTTATGAGTGTCTTTTTTTAAAAGTTATTTTTCGAAATGTTACGATCATTTGAAAATGTCGATTCTAAACGATATATTGATGAACGTTATCGCGTCATCTCGAGTCGCCTGCAGGACGAGTACATATTATTATATACATACACTGCCATAAAAACCGTAGAGCAAAGGTACGTTGAACTATTTGAACACGTGTAGTATGCGATTTTTCTCGTTAGCGAGCGGTTTTATCTTGTTAAATTAATATTATTTTACTTGTGCATTCGTTTAAAAACGCAGAAATCGCAAAAAAAACAAACTGCGCGGGTTCCGATAAACAAACCAACACGGTCCATTAAATAGTTCACGGGCAATTTATTGATGCGCTTTTTTCCCGAATTAACGGGAATAACAGTATATAGGTACTGTCTTCGTCGAATTAGCGGACTCCTCTACGGATGTCTATTTATAAAAAATAATAACCAATTAGCACGTTCCGATGAACGCGTTTTTTTTTTTTTATAGTTTATATAATAATATAAACTGGGTACATACTGCAACTGCAGTACTAATGATGGTACCCAAGGTGCATAAATTAATAATATTAACGACAGTAGCGGGTCTAGAGTTCGATAACTGTGGGTCAGCTATTTTCGAGGGGCCACATTTAGGGCCTACATAATAAGGACCAAGGTTTTTTTTTATTTTTAGGAAGGGGAGTTAAATAAAATTATTTCGCCGGGTATGGCTGGTATTCTATATTATTATATAAATATTCTGAATATTTTTAAAAAGTATTTTATTCCTTGAAAATATTTAAAAAAAATTTTGTCTCATTTTAAAGTGTGAAATGCTCGATTTTAAGAAGTTTGATTTATTTTTTCGAACAATACTTTTTTGGGATAGTAGAAATACTCCGATTTGTTCACGCATTACTTATTTTAGGAATTCTCAATAATTAAAATATAATGCATTATCACGTTACCTATTATCATATAATATCTATAGTTCTTTTAAATCATCCGGACTTAACGTTGCATTTTATTTAATATGTATTTCTAAAATACTATTGTATATATAGTATTCGTAATTTTGTTGGCGTCACTAATGGGATTTCTACTTTTCGCAGATGGCAATTATGAATTTGAAAATCTTGTCATTCCGAGATAAAATCTTATCACTCCGAGAGAACTGGGGTATCGCCTGGGTCGGCGGAACCCTGGCGCCCTATCACGTATATAGATACTATATGGTTGCACAACGAGCAATAATAAAACAGCACCAAATGTTCTTATCAAGAATAGCGCCACCCTAATATTTTTAGTATGGTTATAATATTAAGTAAAGTCCCCTCTCTTGATCTATACGACGGCATGTCGCATCGAAACCAGAGTTTTGTGTATGTTAACGAGGTCTCGGGGACTCGATACAATAATTGTAATGTAAAACATATTGTGGTATACCATGGTTGTATAACAAAGATGTATTATCGAGTTTACTACATGATTGAGAAATAATTTATATTTTATAGTTTGATAATAATATTATAATTGATATTATTTGAGTATTTCCCGAAATTGTATATTAAACATATACAATTGATAAATTATACAGTTTGTATATCTAGATTATAGATTATCTATAATAATATTATTAATATTTAATATCTATATTTATCAAATAATTACTGTGTCGAACTTATATACTAAGTATTCTTGAATACTATTATTCTGTATACTGTTTAGTTATTTTATATAAAATGCTAAAAATATATTGCGTGCGTGAACCTCAAAATATTTTTAAAGCATATTTCACTGTATCAAAAGATGAATTTTCTAAAACTTTTATGGTAAACATCATTTGGTATGCAATAGAAAAAAAAATTATCGTGTTTGTGCTATATATTTTAATCAGTCCGATAAAGTTAATACTTTACATAGCCAAATGATGAAGGAGTAAATAGATTAAATTGTCAAAATTTGAATTAGTTCATTTATAATACTTAGTATTTATCTACATTTACTTTTTCAACATAATCTCATAAAGTAGGACGCAACTTTTTGTTGAATTTGATAAGAACATTCGGAACTGATCAACGCTGTAATCTAATCCAATACAGTTCCGCCGTGCAAGCATAATATTTATATCCGTGACCCCTACAAAATTCGCCATTCATTAACGTAGTTTAGCATATTTTAAAACATAATGGGAAAAAAAGTCTATTCTTTGGACGCGCGTTCTCTGAGCTATTTACCACTTATAATACACTTAATATTTTTCATTAATTAATTTTAATTGCATTTGATATATTATAAACCTATTGCAGTTTACCGCATTTTCTAACAAGTCGATAATCGCGAGAATGAACATTCAATCGATGTTGGAACAATACGCACAATGAAGTCGAACGTATTATTAGGATTAACTAATCAAAGTTCAAGAATCCTGTCAAGGACGACCGAAAAAAAACACGTACTTAGCTTACCGTCGACCAAATGACCTAATATCATAATATGTATGTACGCTCGCGGGACGTGGTCGAATCGAGGGAGACGAGGAGAAACTGCAATCGTCTCCCAAAGGAAAGTGCTGAGAAAAATATACGAACTCGGCTGTAATGAAATCCCACGGAGAATACGAAAAGAGAAATAACATAGATTTTGTATCATATAATAATACATTGAACAAACGAAACTTATAATGTAAAGTGAGTTATCTATACAATTGTTCAATATGAAAAATATCTAGAATTATTTAAATTCATATTTATATTCATTATTTACAAGCGTTTACAGTTCAAATATTGTTCAACATAATATACCTTAATAATTATTCGTATTCGTTTCGGTCGTATTTTTACGGTTTTCTACCAAAAATCCGACGTAAGTTACTCTATTCGTCGAACATTTTTTCGTATATCATATTGTCCTTAAAACCAGTTGCGGATTTGACGGGGAGGTCGACGATCGGCATCCCCTTGAACCGAACAAGAAATTATTCGCTCGCTTTCCCAGCGCCACGATGCACTACGTGTACGTAAAGGAGTAGGTACCGCAAAACCGATTTCACGCCCTCCGCACCACATTATATCATTACGTTTCTCGAGGACGGCCGAAAAATCTTTCGCGACGGCGAGGATTGCGCGGTCTCTCCGTCTGTCACTCTCTCTCTCTCTAAGTCTCTCCGTCTCTGTTCCCCGGAGGACGCCTCAAAAGATCGGCGCGCGCGTAACCGCCGTCGCCGCCACAGCACGGCCGGACGGCGACGATGACCGCGGGTCCGTCGTCACAGCCGTTTTGCGCGTCTCCGGTCGCACGCCGGATCATATAGGGTATTCATATTTGTATAATATACGCGCGCACATCGGCACCGCGCACACACGTACCCAGACAACGAGACGTGTCTGCATCATCGTCGTCGTCGTCGTCGCGTACGTGATGACAATTCCGTTACACGCGCGGACCGGGGAGTGTCGAATCCGGTCGGCCTTCGACAGAGATAATAGCGTTATATAGACGCGCGCGTATAGATGTGCAGCTCTATACGCGGCGACCGAACCGAACGCCGCGGTCTTCGCACACGCACACGCGCACGCGCGGGTGCGGCGGACACACAGTCTGTATAGCCGCGCGGCCGAGCACGGGCGAGCTGCAGCAACTACACTAGACCTTGGAAAAATAATGTATAACTTCGGCGTCAACGACCGGCGTGACGTCACGCGGGGATTTTCTAGAAAAACGCACAGGTATTACGCGCGCGAGGAGGAGAGCGCCTCGATTTTCGTTAACGATATCGACACACACGTCACGTCGCGGACGTTTCCCGCGCACCCTTATCGATGACGAAAACGAAATAACGCCCGGCCGATTGTACCTACGCGCCCACAAAGACAGGTATCCCGAAAACTCTATCCCTGACCGGTTTTCGGCCGCCGAAAAAGACGAAGACAAGAAAAAAAAAAAAAACTGGATTTTATTCCTCCACAATATCGTGTACCAACAAGTATAATGATATTATAATCCCGCGACCGCAGCACGTGAGAAGTTCGGAAGTATATAGCATGTGTGTGTGTGTGTATATATATATAGTATATATTATCAAGTATAGTAATAGCAGTATTAGTAGGAGTAGTAGTAGTAATAGTAGCAATAGCAGTACTACTATAGCAGTGTATAGAGTTTGGTGAGGCCCAGGGGGAAAAATGTTGTACGCTTCACGGGTTTTTTTTTTTTTTTTAGAAGTCATCGACCTTGGTCGGCCCGTGACGACGACGGCGGCAGCGGCAACGACGTTATATATTATTATTATTATAAACCACACGCACGCGCATACTTAGAAGAAAAAAAAATTACAACCGTACGCGCGTATATATTATTATTACGATGGGTTCGCGCACAGCGAGAGACTGGAAATCCATTAGCGTTTCCTTATACTTCCGGTAGGTCGTATAGATTACGACGTTCTAGAGCGGTAGCCGCCGCGCCAATCGTCGGTCCCGATGAATATTCACCCCGACGACGAAAAACGGACCCGTCGATGATAACGGTTATCGCAGACATAAATAGGTACTTTCACACAAGTAAATTACACAACCTGCGACTACCTCACCCACTGACTGTCGCGGTGACCGCCGTTTCGCACCAGGTGCGTGCGTAATCGCAGGCACCTTAAATGGGTACCTATCGTGAGAACCGCCGCGGCGAAGAATTCGTGCGGAAATCCTTCGTCCGCCGTCGACTACCACGAATTACTATTCTCGTGGACAATAATGTATTAGGTGTATACCTACAGAATATTGCGCCCCATTTAAATGTAAATTATTTGAGATATTCACGACTGACGGCCACGGAAAATCACGACGTTATCGCCCGGCAAAAATTACGCGTGCCTATACGGTTAAGCCGGACGACAATCGGAATAAAAAAAAATTCCTAGAATATTTTTCTATAATACAGGTACAATACGTTTGAGTGGATTTTGGCAATGCCAAGCAAGTTCGTGATTGTAATCTTTAGTTTCCAGTATATTGGATTTACGGAAAAATATTACTAATTCCTCGTTTTTCCTTATCCTCCCCACTCACCTTTTGGCATGTCCTTTATAGGTCCAAAAAATGTTCGCATTATTTTTCTCTCCAGAACTATGAGTTTTCTTTCGTTGCTATTTCAAAGTGACCATATTATTTATCGTTTTATCGTATTTTCGAACGATTGTGCCCATCCCATCCGAAAAGACAATAATAATATTTTACGGTTATTTTTGTTATACAATTTACGTAAATATTATACGAATCATATAATATTATGAAATGTTCCGACGCTTTGTATAGGTATTAAAAAAAATGGTGATTTATACTATATTGTAACCGCGGTGGTACATTATTTACAAAATAACTAGAGGCACAATAAATAATATCCGGTAAATCTTAAAAATAAACGTTGACTCGTTAACCGGTTACGGGGAGTTGTTAAAAATAGACACCCGAAGTCGAATAGACATTACGAATTCGTTTTATCCGAGAATTAAATATCATCTACGGTCAACATAATAATAGTAATAAGTATAAAATTCGATGATAAAACGCGTTCAAACCCGCGCATATAATATTATTTCGAACTATACATACGGAGGAAACTGAGAGAACACGATGACTGCACACAACAGTTTACATGAAACTCGGGCTAAATAATGCAGAAAAAAGGTTTTTTTTATTTTTGAAGGCGGTATATTATTTTGGAACACCAACGTCTACGGATATCGACAACTAAACCGATTTATCGGAAAAGTACGTTCAATATCAAGATTCAATATCAAAATACAATTATTTTTTTTCCAGGAGGATAACATTTGAACGACAACGTTAGCAGTAGTGTTCTCGCAGGACAATACATCCGAAACAAACGAAGACTGCGGGCAATACCATATTATGGCTGCAATATGGTTTAGCGTTTGTGTACCGCGTAACCGCAAGAAAAAAAAAAATCCGAATAATAATAATGTTAAAATTATTAACCGTGTTCGCAGTGCGTAAATATTATACTCGGCGGGCTATAACCATAAAAAATAATAATAAATACACAGACGCTCACAGCTACATTATTATTGTCATCGATGTATAAACTGCTGCTGCAAAAATATTATTATGACACAAATCGTAATATTTTTCAAAAAACTAATAATAGTAAAGTTATGTACAGCAAGAAATAAGTATTCGACGAGACAAAATTAATGTTATCTCCGTCGGAAAACGTAGTGGGATATCACCAGCCAAAGTGGCGAAAATCGCTACCTATTGAAAATCGTGTTATTCGGCAACTTTTAATCATACTGAATTCGTAGTAAATCGTATTTACGAGTATCGTCAAAATTTTAGTATCAAGAGGGTTTTTCAGCACTTAATAAACAGTTTTCCAAATTTCTGCAATTTTGTAAAATTATTTTTTTTTACCTTTCAATGACCACATTAATATTATTTAGGACTTCTTCATTAATCTACTTTCCGATACCCATTTAAGGGAAAGGTGTACTGCCGTTTTTACGGACGAATATGACGTTTTAGACCAACAAGCTAAAGTAAAATTTAAACAACACTGATTTTCGATATTCATTTACATTTAATCAAACAAATTTTTATACGCATAAATCGAGAAGAAAAAACTAGACAATTTCAAATAAATTTAACACGAAAAAGAGACGAAATACTTTCGAAATCATGTCAGTCAAACGTGCACATTCTCAAAATGCCAACGACTAGACGAATCTTGCCTAAAAGTACTGGAAACCCAAATCCCTGTAGATAGACGAAAATTGGAGCAAATAAATATTGTAAATTTTCTATAGTTTATTGAGAAAAAAAACTACGTAAACGCATAGGTATACAGATATTATAGGTACGCATTTATACAGGAAATCGGTAATTCGATCGTTTCGAGCAGTCATCGTCTGTATAGTAATACGAAACGGGTGGAAAAAAGGGAAAGCGTTGGCGATTACCGAACGACTCTGCGACGGGCGGCTGTGTGCACTGTGCATAGGCGGCCATGATTAAAATAATATGCAAAACCGTTTGCAGTTTTTCCAATGCGCGCATAATGTTGACCCGCATTATGCATTGTGTATGAGCGTACTAGCTATTTGTTGTAATCTAAATGTATGATTTCGCAGAAAAAAAAAACAGAGGCTATATAATATAAGTAACAGAACAAAAGACAAAAAAAAAAATATCCCGTTGTGTGCGTCACTGCAACTGCAGTTGTTGTAGGTGGAAAGTTGGGAAGGTAGGATATAATATGGGTAACTTAATTTATAACTGTATACGTGTTTTGAAATGCCATGTGATTTTTACGATTGTCATACAAATTTGAACTTCATTAAACACTAATAAAATAAAATGTACGGTAACAAATTATCGATATTTTTATAAGTGATATAAGCACAAAACTAAAAAAAAAAAAACGCTCCACAATTCATATTGAAATTTAACACAACTTTTATCACTTCAAGAAACCTACAAAATAAATCAAATTTCCTAGTGTTAGCTGATTTAGTCCAGTCGTGGAACAGCTATAGAAATGTCCAAAATTGACGGAAAAATTATAAATATCGGACACTGCGACAGTATTTAATTAATAAATAAATATACATTATTATTATATATTATAATATACCATACAATATACATTTAATAGTCAGGGAATATTCTGAAAAAGAAAAAAAAATAAACACTCGGAATTTAAAAATGCAGTGTGACGTGATGTGTGCGAGCGTATACATTGTAATATAAGCTCCCAGCAGACACCGGCGGCGTATCCAAACGTTTGTCTCGGAGAAGAAAAAAACACATTAAAACGTTTATTTATATAGGTAATAGGCGTAAAATATTTGTTCGTTTCCGTGGAAGCCATCGATTAACGATTATAATACAAGTAATATTATTCAAAAACATCGCGCAATCGTGTTTTCGCTCAGATAACGCGACGACCGCGACCGTCGAAACGCGTCGGGATTTCGGAGAATTTTACTATTAGATATATTATACCTATACTTGTCCCATACTCGAAGTCGCGATCGATCATACTGGTTTTGAACACGATATTGTATAGCGGCTGGTAAAAACCGTACGAGGGCAATGTACCGCGGTATTGTTTTTTTTATATATATATATATATATAATTTTTTTTTTAACATTGTCATATTTTACCGGGATCGCGAAACTATCAATAACCCCCGATAACTTTGGACCGCAATATACTGTCATCGAAAAAATGATTCGAAAACGGAAAAACAGTGAAAACGTTGAAAATAAATAAGCAAAGTCCAAGGAATTTAAATGAATGCGATAGGTAAACGCGAGTCATAGAAAAATGCTCTACATTCTCTACATCAGTTATATAAAATAACTCAACCTAGAAACAAACATATTTCGAAACAGGAAATGGGAAAATTCTGAAATACACCAAGAATTCAGGGTATTTCAAAAACCGTTTCGTATTTACACAACTTTTTACACTGTTCACAATATCAAAATAATTTTAAAAATAAAAAATAAATACATTTAATCTCACACATACACACACACACACGTTAATAACACGCACGGCGTTTAATCTTTAAAATCGAAAATGCGTCCGAAGAACAGTATTTCTTTCAGATACCTGGGGCTGTGTGCAGTTTAATACCAACCTTTTCGAAAACGACATCTGGTTTTACCTCTCTCCCCCTCAACCACAAAAAAAAACGCAACTCGGTTTGCCGATACTGAGGATTCCCTTTTAAAGGGTCCGTTATATTCGATTCATTTAAAATCGAATTATATTGTCCCCGTACAGTAACCGGGAGAAAAAATACTCTGGATTTCGAAATCATGGCTCCAATCATTAATACAATATGTGTATTATAGTAAGTGTTCATTGAAAATAGAAAAACGACCCGGATAAAGAGAGCAGCGGCCCTCATCGAGGGCATTAAAAAAAAAAAAAAAAACAATCCATTTACTTTTTACACGCGACATTAATATACAACACCGCGTACGATGATATTTCTATATGTGTATGATGTCTACAATAAGGGCTCCCTCATATAATGGAAAAAACAATTTTATTTCTTTTTATCAATTTAATATTAGGTGGACGAGGTATACGAACGATACTGTTATTATATACGATCGAAACCGTTTTATACGAATACGAAAGATAAACATGCGTGTGGCCCCGGTGGTCCGGGGCACACAATATTATTTTATCATTGGACCGTTGGAAAATACCCGTATCGAATAGTAATATAATAAAATATATGTAACGATGTCGACGTCTAATTATTATTATCTCGTATGGTACACACAATAATATTATAATGATATTGTCACAAGGCACAGCTGTACTTTGTTATATTGCAATTTATTGTTATTATCACTGCAATCAGACACAGATTTAGGGTAGGGGAAAGTCATCTGAAAATGATAAGAAAACTAATGGTGAGGAAACTGTGATAACGACTCGAAAGCGTATAATATAAAATGATACAATAATCATCATATACAATATAAAAATGTAGGGAGTATGTAACAAAACAAAAATATAATACATGACCTATACTATAGGTAAGAATATTACAACCGAGTTAATAATTATATTAAATATTATATTAGCAACAAACTCAAAAGTTCACTCGGTCGCTGAATCGTAGAAAAATTCAATGTTTATAATAATTCGATACGCCTGCAGTTCAGTATAACAAGTGTAATAATATTAATATGTGCATAGAACACAGTGGTGCAAAGACCTAAGGGAAATTGCTAGAATATAATCAACTGGTATCGACTCTAATATAGAAAAATCCGTTAACTTTCTCTTCGATTCTAACATTTCTAACATTTAGAGTCTTTTTCAAATCGAATTCTTCAACTATTACGTCTATAACCAGACCTGCCAAATTCGAGGACCGCACGCGTAAGTATAAAACATCACTGATTTGACTGCAATATTATAATATGTTGTTATTAAATACGAATACGTTCACTATGATTTTCGCAAATGAACTTCACGAACTCGCGTGAAGATACGAAATTATTAATTATAATTAATAATGATTATAATATTATATATATATATAATATACATTGGTTTCAAAGGCCAGTGACAGGTCTTCAATAGTGTAAACAAGTTGATTAATAGAAACCTAGTTAGTTTAAGAGCACAAGATTATTTTATGTGCGTTGTCAGTCGTATATTATTATACTAAGGTAGGTTAGGTACACACTAGGAGAAAATCGTCCCAGCTTGGCATCCAGGTTTTCCTTGACAACTCATTTTTATTTTATTTTTTCATTTTATATATAGTTATATAAATATTACATACATCATCTTTATCGTTTCTGTCATGAGTCTTTAGATTTTATTCACCAAAGTCAAGATTCAATTTCGTAGTTTAATAAACTGTCGTAAAATTCACTAAAAGTATATGATAATTATAATGCTTAGGACTTCTTGAATATAAGACAAAAAATACAGACTTATTGAAAAGTTGGAAAGGTAGGATATAAAGGGGAATTTAATGTGTATCTGGCCGCAACGATTAATCATTGCTAACTAAAAACGATTCTGAGCTGGTTTATATGGTTTTATTTAATAAATGTTTTGAAAGACCGAAATATCTATGATTTTCGTCAATATTTGATGTTAAATTTCTTATAAAAAAAAATCTTTATTACACTCAATTTTTTTTACTACAAATTACGACTTATAATGAATCTGCCGTTAAATTTTTAAAGTATTTCCAACAATTTTTGTGACCCACAGAGTACCTACCTAATAAAAATTACGTACAAAACTTGTAAAATTAAAATGTCTATAAATAGCTCAAAAATAGTTAAACAATTTTGAAAACTTCACCACAACTAGAAAAGGCAAATATAAGTATTGTGTCCAAATTTTAAGTTTCTACGAATATTTTATAACTGAATCATAATAAACAACAAAATTGAAAATAATACATTTCATAAATTTTCTCGTTTTTTTTACAATTATCATGAAAAACACATGGGAAATCAAAAAATGACCAACTGCACCAGCTTAAAATTTTATTCTAGAAAAGATACTAGAAATCTGAGCCAGATTTCTCGTAGAAGTTATTCACAGATAAAAAAAAATAAACCTCATTGTAATATTAAAATATTCTTCAAGGAATATAGCGATTGTTTCGATCAGAATCTAAAATGAACAAAAATCGTTAAATAAACTGTGTCGAAAACTAGAAATTAATATTGAATCAAGATAATATACTTAATATGAATTTATTTTATAATAATAATAATAATGTTGATAAATGATAAGAATAACATATATTTATCCTCAACGCCAACCAACAAATGCCTCTGCGCTGTTTTTTAGTACTGAATTTTGTAAATTCAAAACTGACCCTATACCCTAGGATGTAATCTTCAAGGTTCAGAGTGTTTAGACAAATTAAAAACCTTACCTTCATGCATGTCACACACTCAGTTTATGATTATTATTATTTAATTAATTTAATTATAATACACGACGAGTTTAGTATTTTTTTTCTTCTTTAAATATAAACTCGTACTTGATTAAAAGTGTAGCAGGGAAAGAAAAATGAAAATATTTTCCCTATGTTAAAAAAAAAAGAAAGCAAACAAAGTCAAATCATTTTTCCAAACCGAAATCGGACTATAGGTGCTGGAAATATGTTTGTTTTACTATTACGGCCAAATTCGGACGAAATGTATGAAAAAACTAATCGGTTTTCAACCGCTCGAGACGTTCCCCTTGGTTGTTACACACACACGCCGTACGCCGTCTATTTGAAGGCGGTGCACGAAGAAAGGTGTAGGTGAAAGAATTACTACACGCGGCGGTCAAACTTTCAAATTTTTCATTCGTGACTGTACGTGGAATCGTGGACAGCACAATATTATTGCAATGTCGCGGCAGCGGTGGAAGTAGTAAGTAAAAATTCAACGAAAATTCTACCGCCGCTCAAGGTCACGCGTATCGCGCAAACAGTGCTCGAGATAAAAAATTGTATTTTAAATAAGATCGATTTCGCGTGATAATTTTAATAATTGTACGCCCGCCCACAATGTTGTTACTTACAGTTTACTGAAAATTATACGAAACAAAATGTCACTATATAGGTTTAATGTATACAACACTACAAAATACACATTTTAAAGAAGAAAAAAGACGGGATGTATAGGTATTATGTCTAAGACGTTTAGTCAAATTTCTCATGTATCCCCTCCCCCTCCCCCCGTTTGATTCATGAAAAAATAACGCATATTATACAGGGTGATTTATGACCCTTCTATACTCCTTCGGTCTAAACTTTAAAATTGTTTTAACTCATATACGGTTAATCTGATATTAGTATGATGCATATCAAAATTTCTAGAAAAATATTCTCTATTCAAATCTGTGTTCAAAAGGGGGGGTTTCTATTTGAAAATCAGAAATATGCACTTATTTAAGGTACACGGAGTAGGGGTAAAAATTGAAAACTGTTGTAAATTTGAGCTTAAACGATTCCATAATGATTAGAAATAAACAGAAATTAAATTCACTTAAAAAACCCTCTGAGATCCTCCTTACTAGTTCATAATAAAAAAAATCACTCTGTATACGTTACGTAACCTAATCCTAATGCCTGTATACCGCACAATATAAAATAGTCACTAAGTATAAATAATAATAATATTACCTATCCTAAAATTTATTGGGGGAGACTTTTTCATCAGATGAAAAAATAAAAACAGGTTTTCGTTACGGTTGCACACACACATAGCATCCGACAAATCCATCCGTACACCACGAGGTATTATTATTTATCATCAAATATATTAGGTACCTATGTATTATTAGTGACGGGGGGGGGAGGGGTGTACGAAAAAATTGTTTTTCAGATAGGACGTTTAAAATGAGTGAAAAAAAGACTACGAATGTAATTTATTAAAAATATAGAATACATATGCATTTTTCTTCCGTGGGCGTTTTCTGCAATAAGTACGTCAGACCGGAAATCTTTCCTACATGAATGTAATATAATATAAAAAAACGACCTGCAGCAGTAGTCTGGTGATATTAGAGCAGTGTAGGATATCCGAGTATTTTTTTTTTTTGTATTTAATAAAACACATAAGGTAATAAGTACATCGCGAAGAAAATCACTATTTTTTTTCTCTACTCCGTCGTAGGTATATAATAATCGTTATAATCTAAATTTCCGTTGGTTTATTTAGAAAATAATACGTACAAACTTCCTGTGCACACAGCCGGTCTACAATATATAACTGTACACACAAAACAATAATAACATTATATCGATTGTGATGGAATGCGATATGGCCGATTTGATTTTGCGAAATAATAACGTACATATACCTCTACTCGATGACTGTTTGGTTTTTTTTTGTTTTCTGGTCAACGTTATGCACTATCAGCGGGATTTTAACTTCCTGTCGTTTGTGTAACTATACATAGACGATAATAATAATAATAATAATTCGTGCGTGTATATAAAACGTGTTTCGTTTATTATTTAAATGGATGGCATAAAGAAAATTGACTTTGTATAAATAATATAAATTAAATAACGGAGAGACTACTTGGGTGCATACGAGCCGGATGTAGCAATCTGGAGGTCCCGTACAGTAGCGATAGTACTACAGTCGTATAGGCACATTATAATTGAATATTTTCAGTACTTTATGATAATATAATAGTCCGGTGAAAAAAAAAAAAATTACCTGATCCAAATCCGAATCCCACAGGTCCTTCATGTCGTCGTTCATGAACGGATCGAGTTTTGACGGGAAATCCCCAGACATGTATATCCCTAGAGCGTCCATGTCTTGACAGGACATATTGGACATTATTTATATACGTTATCTTACTGAATTAAGAAGAAAAATTCGAGTTCACTGGACGGCGAAAAATTCGATTGAAAACAAAAAAAAAACAACCCCGAATCGCACGTACGGTTGTCCGGTTACGGCGGCGTTATATTAAAATATAATAATATACCGAGGAAGAAAGCGCACTGCGGAAAATAATATAAATTGTTATATTATTTACGTATTGTGTTAAAAAAAAAAACTCGCGGATCGTTGTTGTATTACATATTTTCCCCGTGGGTTCAAAACGCGGTTACTGCAATATGGTTTTGTGCGATGAGTACTAGACATACGCACGGCGGGTTGAAAACCCAGAAAGAACGAAACAATAAAATAATAATATGATAAAGAAAAAAAATGCACAAACACACACAACCGAACACCAACGTGGAGACTGAAGCGTTCGCCGGTCGCGTCTGATAATAATGAGAGAACGTACGAGGTGCGCGCGAGAGAACGACGACCTGTTGCTGATGCCGAGGCGTGTACGGCGACCGTCGCGTCATCGGTCGGTCGGGCGTGCGTGCGTCCGTGACCGGTGCCGCCGCCGGGTGGAGGACCGGTGCGACGACCATTTTGTCACATGCAACGGCAGCGCCATCTGGCGAACAGAGCCCGAGCGACCGGTGAACGACAATCGCGCCATTAAAACTGCAGCTATAGCTCTAATAATCGAGTTACGTCTATATCCATAGATAATAAAATAATAGATAAGGCATGACGGTTTATCAGTGAAGACATAATAGTGAAATTGAGATTGTATCACAGATATAGATAATAAACTAGATTGCTAACTATTGATAATAGCAGATGCCAAAAAAATCTATGTTGGTTGTAGGCTTTGCAGTGACTGCAGTGTTATCATAACTACGTGATACCTAATCAACCATTTGGTGGAGATATTTCAAATCAAATAGTACATATTACCACAGATATAGGTTATAAACTAAATTATTACCTATATACATAAAAACATATCATAATGAAAAATAAATTATACACGTAAATCATTAATCAAAATGATTATATGAAAAAAATTAGATTATTTATAATTATAAATTAATAATAAATATTTGATAATAACATGTAAAAAAAAAAAAACAAATCTGATTTAAATATGATCTATAGAGAAATTATCCAACACCCTTAAAAAAAAAAAAAAAAATAAACAAATGAGCATATCATTTTAAATGTTATACTTTAACATTATTTTGACTTTTGTTTGCTAAAGCGTAAGTAGTGTAAGTAAAATGCCTCTGTATTTTCAAAATCGTCAAAATTACTGAACAATACTTTAAGTGTACCTACAAAAAGCAATTATTTATAAAAAAAAATAATGATAATGGCATTATGTTCAAATTTCATTCCAGAAACAAATAAATGTTTTGAAGACTTTGATATGCATTCACGTCCACATAAAATAAATATAGCCCGAATGTATTGAAATAACCGTAAACACTCTTACAGCAAAATTCTAATTTCTTCTATTTTGAAAGCTTCTGTCAACAAAAGACATAAGTTACATAAAGCAATTTTGTTCAATAAATTGTAATCATAATCTTGTTTACAGCAGTAAAATCTGTTCTTTTGATGTTTTTAGCTTTTTGAGATACTTAGATACTTAAGTAACAAGTTTTTTTGGATGTGTAAATTAAATAAACTAATATATAAAATATAAATTATTATGTTAATTGTTATTAAAAATATTTCTGAGTTCATGAATTATGATAAAATTTATCTGTGTATCACAACGGTAAAAATTAAAAAAAAAAAAAAAACCTCAACCAACATGGAGGAAAAGCGGCGTCGCCCGGCTTGCTTGTGAATTTATATTAGTTATCAATCTAGTTTATTACCTATATCTGTGGGCTGTATACACTCCGTATAAGTAAATTACTTTGTCACAGTGGTTGACGTATAGAAATAGTGTAAAAAAACGGCCTCAATTTCCTATCATGTTGGATCGCAAAACTAAAATGTTCTCAATAGGTTATGTTCTATCCATTAATTTATTATCTATGTCTCAACCCCGGTCCCCGATCTTTTGACTGGTTGCATAAACGACCAATAATATCGTAATCGGTTTGAGAAAGTATTTCGCTGTTGAAGAAACGAATTTTATCATTTATCGATTCAACAAATAATCTCCTATCTTATCAATAAGTAAAAGATTTTGACCCGTTTTTGATTTGATAAGTAATAAAAAAAAAGACACATAACCTTATTGAACTCTACACTCACTTAGTTTATATGGTCTAAGGTCTATAGTTCAAACATTTACAACTGATACATTTTCATTGATCTTTATATTTGTGATAACGACTGAATTATCATTGTAAATTGCAACTGTATTGGCAAATTACACCAAATTAGAATACAAAGGATAAGTGCGGGGGGGACACAATGCAGACTAACTGTTTACAACGCCATCTGTTCACTAAATTCTTACAACTTTCAAATAATAACGTGACAGTAATGATAGTGCTAAGTACCAACTACCACTATAATAATGAAATTAATATTAATAACTAAAACAATATTACGAATAGGTATCTATTAATTATGCATCGTCAGTCAAAAATGTTTAACACATACTTTCCATACAACTGTTTTCGCGCAGATATCATTAGGTACTGCTAATTAGTGCCTAACTTCCAAACAAAATAATGAGAATTTGGTCTTTTACACTAATGCATCTTTTTACACTACACTTACCTACTCATATTCATTATTCAAATACATTAATTAATTTAAAATTGTTTTAATAATAAATAGGTACACATGTGATAGTAAGAATTTTAATATTTTATGTAATTATTTTGGCGTTAAATTATGTATAATAAATAAAATAATATTATGGTTTAAATTATGACGCCAAATATAACTACCGGCGTCCAGTAGCACTAAAACCAGTTGAGCGGCAGTGTTGATGATAACAGAGGAAACATTTGGAGGCCGTTTTAGCTCCATACACCAGCCTACCATGTCGATACTAGTGCATTATATCTTAGTTTATGATGCAATTCGAAATTAGAAGAAAAGGTATTTCGGGTATCATATTAACGCAACCTTTTAGAAGGGCAGTTTTAGTAAGTATCTATTTCAATAGCGGGATGAGTGTAACTTTTAGCTTTTGAGGTTAGGGTGAAACAAATTAACATCAGTACACAATAACTCAAATTCTAATAATTAGGTTAAAAATAATTATGGAGGTCTAAAATGCTCACAGTATATTTATATTAGTCTTTAATGGATGTGGTAAAATCCCTCTGGCAACTTGTAAACTATTTAATGGCATAATAAATGTTTAAATCATTACACATTTTAGGGTTGAATATCGTGTAGCGGCAGAGGCTATTTTTATGTGCAGTACGAAATTCTAAAAGTATATTACAAAAATTTAAAATGTGCACCTGCCTCCTGCGTTTTTATTATAGGCGATCTACAAGGTTTCACAGATGTATGGAAAATATGTTACAGCGTGTATCAATTTTCGATAAGATTATCTTGTAAAGTATTTACTTTTTCAGATTTTAGATTCTGGGTTATTTTCTACCAGAAAGCATATTCCGATAAATACGATATAAACTCCATATCTGAAAGAAAATTTTCTTTGGGTGGTACTTTAAATATTTCATTTTTCGATTTTCTCAAGAGTTTTCCCAGAAAATGTGAAAACCGGGAAAATATAGGAAAACTAGTACAATAAAACAAATACTATTAAAGAAAATATATAATGCCTATTTAATAATTTTACCATAATATAACATATATATTGTTGTCAATGCATCACTATTAATTGAACTCTGCTCAGAATCGTTTTTTCGTTAACAATAGTTTATAGTTGCTTACAGAAATACATTAAATTCCCTTCTGTATTCTACTTTCCCAACTTCTCATCTACAACAGTGACTGCGCCCGTCCCCATTATCCTAGGACAGCTTTTTTTTTTTTTTTTTTAAGAACTTATAAACAAATAGCTCTAAAAAATAACGTTACAGTTATTTTTGGTTATTCTTATTTTTTGTGAGAAACTTTTAATTTTTAAATAACAACTTACATTAAAAATTGGATAAATGGATGACGGTTTAATTGAAATAAATTTTGCTGTTAACATTTTTAATCTTTGTCAACACCTTATGGTTTATATATTCAACTTAAATACATGTATGTGTATTGTGTACTATAGAAAATTTGAAAATACAGCTACTGAATATTTATGGTGGTGTCAAGGGGTAATTTGAGCTGAAGTGTAAAACACCAGTGTGTTAGTAGTGTGTAGTCCATACGTGTGTTAGTGCGGTGGGTGGCAATACATTTTTTTTTTATTACCCATAACAATAACAATGAACACGGGTTTGTATGCAATTTTATCGTGTGTTCACAAGGCATAATCAAAAACAAAATCGACTCGTCAACGGTGCATTTCCAACATTTCCGTTTAAATAATAGTAATCGTGGTGTTTTGGTCACACGGCGATTTTCTATTCGTAAATCTACAATTATGGTTAGATATATCCGCGTTAACTTGTCATTAAAATCCACGCTAGCTTATAACAGTCAATATCAATAATAATAATAAAAAAAAAAAAAAGCTGCTACTTTATACCACACGGATAAAGTATTAAGTATGTATAAAGTATAAAATATATATTTCCCGAAAACTATAAAAACACCATTTTACTCTACATTCCGGTTTAAAAAGCCATAATAAACTCTTGCCACATATTTTAGATTTTGAGTATACTGTATTATTTTGTTAATTTTATATTTCATGCTAAACGCCACATTTAAAAGAAATTGAACTATAATCTACTAGGTATTATTTCACCTAAATGTTTTCAATTCAAAACGAGGTTAATAGATCACTAATAATAGGTATCGTAATTTTGTATTCGCTCTAGCAAGGTCAACGAGTTTTAATGACCGTTTCGTGGAAAGTGTCAATTCTAATAATATTATGGTTAAGAAAATTTTAATAGCATTTTCTCGGCGGCATTTCAAAAATAGTATAGGTACAACATCGTTTGGTTTTATAGATAAATTGCATAAATAATTATACACTAGGTAATATAAAATTTCATTGCAATAGCACTATAGTTTAATATATTATAGTTAATTTAAAAATAAATTGTAATGCTAACCAATTTTAATTTATTTTTTATTTTCTGATCGTTAAATTTGATACATAGGAAGCATTTTTTTAAACTTTTACACAAAAATGTCAGAACGAATAAGTAAAAAATTCGATACAAAAGATAGTTGCGAACCGATTGATATAAGTATATAGGCTGTTACAGGATGAAGACGATTCGCCCTTTTCGCTTGAGTTAGCAAAGCTGATCCTAACAGATGGAAAAACAATAATACTATTATAACTTCAACTCTGTGACCAAGGGTGAAATGGAAACAAGATTCTTCAGCCAGGAAGATTTGAATCTCACATAACCCCCCTCTCCTCTTCAAAATAAAATACCAAAAT